AAAAAAAAAAAAAAAAAAAAAAAAAAAAAAACATCCGTTCCGTCAGAGTCGTTACAATAACGAGCCAATTGAATATTACACGAGTTTAGTCGCGGACTATTATAATACACCGTATAAATAGCCGACCCTAATGACCGCGCCGCGTGTATTTTTAAATATATGTAATTCGACAGATAACATCACACGCGCTCGCGTATTATAATATACACATGTAATATTGTATTTTTTTTAATATACGGAGGCGCGAGGAAAAAAACTGCTGCTCCGCATTGGCCGTGTCCGCGGCGACCGGCCGCGCGCACTGACTATTTCCAATACTCCCGACGGCGACGATTGAATACTTCACAGAAGCACAGCACAGTATATCTATATATATATATATATAAATGTGTACCAAATAATAATATATAACTGCGGTATCCTGCTGTCAGGGGGAAAAAAAAAATAATACTAATATCGCGTCGTACGTATAATAATATTATAATATGCGCGCGCTCGTTTTTACTGTACGGATTCGGGTTTTTTTTTTTTTTTTTGAAATTACGCAGCGCGTCGAGTCGTCCGATAGAAACGCACAACGTACAATAAGAGTATGTCTAATGTCTGTCTAGAACCGCGCTCCGCTCGTTGATATTTAATATCACGGGGCTATGTAAGTTTAATGCACTAAAAACGACAATACAAATATTGAAAAAATCCACAAAAAAAACCGTCGAAAATGCGATTAAAATGCCACAGAAAAACAAAAAAAAAAAAAAAAAAAAGATAACAAAAGAACGCGTAAATAACTGTTTATACTTCGGATCGACTAACAGATAAATCGTTTAGTATTTTTGTTTAAGTTCGTGTATACGAAAAATTTAATAAGCCGATGGATTTAAATTCGAGTTGAACGCGGACGGTGTACAGTATTCCGAATGTTTTAAAAAAATTAACAACAATAATAATAATAATAATAATAATATTGACCCGATTCGACGATCTGAAGAAAGACAACAACGGAATTAAATGTATCTATGTTAAACTAACAAAATAGGATAAATATATAGAAAAATAATCGAGAAACCGAGCTAATAATATAACGGGAGCCGGTTTCCATTATTGCAGAAAAACACGGGAGAGAATAGATTACAATAAAATAAATAAATAATAGCGATCCCCGGAGTGATCGATAAGAACAGTCGCGGATGACGAAAACAAATAAGTAATAATACCCACGCGTACCAGTGTAGGTGTTCGACAAGTTATATCGGAAACGCGAGAACGAGAAAACTATAGCTGCCAAGGTTTAGCGGACACGGACAAGTATTGTGAGCGCCCCGTCAGCTTACGTTGGACCGCGAGAATTTACGATATTCAAATAACGCGGACAAAATGTCGAAAAAAAATTGTATTTTTGAATCGGTATAGGTGCCTGTATCCGTTTTTTAATTATAAACAGAAACTAATATTACCTATTGGTTTTGTTTCGCAACAATTTTATGTTGTTTTACACATCCGTTCCATTCAGCATAGTCGTCCAATAGGCAGCTTTGCATCGGCGCAGGCGTTTTTCAGGTGTTCGTGGCAAAGCTGTCAGATTTCAACTGAAATCACCTACTCCAGCTTCTCCATGATACCGGGCGAATACGGGGGTTGCGGAACAACAGGAATAACTTTTTCCGTCAAACATTGGTTAATGCTGTTGATGGAGGTGACCGCGTGACAGGGGGTATTATCATGGCGGAGCATTAAGTTCGAAGTTTCAAGAACTTCTGTATGCAAATTTGGTTGAAAGTTCGCCCTGTAGGTCTTTCCTTACAGGAGCCTTCACTCTTTCCAATTGCTCAATTATTTTTGACGTCGAAGTCTTCACTGATGATTCGTGCTACCGAACAACTTTTACTCGAATGTTAACAATTTCAAATATCACGATCAAAAACACCCTTTACTTATTATTAGTTAAAATAATACCTATTTAAAATTTACTCTTATTGCAAAAACCAAATTATAAAAAATCATCGACGACGCAAACCTTGTTGATTTCGAATCTAAATGTTCTAAACTGTATAGTGTTAAACAACAAGTTCGGAAAACCTACTCTACGAACGTGCTACGTTCCCAGTTTCTAAAAGTATTTTAAACGATAATCTATTATGATTCCAAAAACAATTTTGAAAGAATTTGGTAACCTAATTTATTATGCTTATGTGTATAAAATTAAATGAATTACAAATCATAATTTGTAAATAATTCACAGGACATTTTTGAAATTCTCTAAGTATCGCTTATAATGTTTTGTTTTTTTAATTTTCGCTAATATGAGTTTATTCTTTATATTCAATACTCGTATTTCAATAAATAATTATAATAATATATAGTAATAATATCAATATTTATATGGCGAATTTATATTGAAATTAATATTAATAAATATGTTACGAATAATACATATGTTTCTCTCTATCAACTAAAATTATGTTTAGAAACATACTATACATAATAATAATAATAATAATAATAACAATATTAACCATGTGAATACCGTACACGTTACAATAATAAACATGCACGTATTGTATCATACAAATATTTTGATTACATATTGTTATTATTTCAACATTATTTTGAATAATTATGTAGGCGGGTACTTTGACACCAATCAGTGAAAATAACTGAACAGTAGCTCCGGACTTCGAAGACTTAAACTAAAAGATACAGATGCAAAAGAAAGTCTTATTCGTGTTTTTTCGGTTCATTCACCTAGAAATTAACAAAAATAAAACCCACGATGTATATGTATCTGTTTTGATTGATATCTGATTGTTGAGTATCTGAATATCTGATTGAAATAAAATACTATACCAGTTAAAATACCCACATCATTTTTAGGTACTCTGTGAAAAATCCGAATTGTTTTTACTAACCAAAAAATTATTAATTTATTTTTAAATTTATTATAAAGGAGAGAAAGAAGAAAAAGATAACAAACCAAAACATTATAATAAAACAAATAAATTAGAATCTACTTAGATTTAAAAAAAAAAAAAACAGCTGATACTGGGGACGGGCGTGCTACTGTTGTAGGTGGGAAGTTGGAAAGGTAGGATACATGAAAATACTTATTAATGCATAACTCTACGCAAGGATACACCATTACTAACGAAAAGTACGACTTATAATGAATCTACTGTAAGATTTTCGAACATTTTAGTTTAGGCTAACGATTGTATCCACAGAGTACCTATCAAATAAAAATGCCTATAAATAGCCCAAAAATTACTTAAATTTTTGAACATTTTACCACGTTGAGAAAAGGCAAGGATAAGATTTCTAAGTTTCTACGAATATTTTTAATTGCGTTACAACAAAATAAAAAATAATAAAAACATTATTGTAATTATTGTGCATATATATTCAGGTCCGAGTCGAGCGTTTAAACACACCTAAGCAAACTTAAGTTTTGCCGCTCCTTGTACATATAAATATTACCTCAATAGTTTTAAATGCCACCCCTGAAAAATGGCGCCCTAGGCGTGGGTCTATGTCACAAACCCCTCGAGTTAGATCTGTATATATTCATATATACCTACACGTATATTCGTAAATTCTCCCATTTTTTCTACGTTTTTTTTCGGTTTTGTTAAATTTAAAAAAAATTATAGAAAACAATAAAAAAAAAATTACTTTTTTTTATCTAATTAGATAAAAAAAAATTCAGCAAAAAAGAACTTTGTTGGTTTTTTATTGGAGCAATATTTCTGGTAGAAAGCGTAAAGCGTATAATTTAATACAATGAAATCGTAACAGCGTAAATTTGTCAGTTTTCATTTTACGTTTTTTCCCAATTATTATCAAAAATTCTTGAAAAATCAAAAAAAATGATCTCCCGATGCATCATCTAGTTAAAATTTCCTTTCAGGTGCTACGCATGATAAATTGGAACAAGATTTCTGGTAAACAAGTCGCTTACAGACACACACAAAAAAAAAAAAAAATAAAAATAAAAAATAATACCAATGTATTACTCGTTACGTTCCGGATCTAAACGAGCTGATACCGGTGATGGGTGTGACAACGTTGTTGGTGGGAAACCGGGAAGATACGATACATAATACTAATGAGTTGTTCAGTTTATGTGTGCGCAACGAAAAATATCCTTGCTGACAAATTACCATTCTGAGCAGAGTTTCGTTGTATAGGTGGGGTTAATAATAATATTTATTCGGCAATAAAAACAGTTCTGTTCATGTTTAAAACAGTAATGCACAGTGTCTAAACAATAACACATAATTACTAAAATGGTATTTAGCTACATATAACGAGAGATTCTGGCTCAGTTCGTCACTGGGGTGTAATCTCGTATCGGTGAAATTTCAGTCGTATCGATTAATTAATTGTTCATTATTTAACAGTCGAAAAATTTAAAAGAAAAACAAAGCAGAAAGAGGAGGTAGAATTATATGAAATAGACGGGAATGTATACGGAATAGTGTACATCGCGTTACAGATAATCGTCAGTGTTTCGTGTCGGACAAACGCTGGAGTTATCGTACGTTTTGAAAGGTTTGTTTTATGATTTTCGTGAAAACTCGAAATCGAAAAGTTTTTGAAAAAAAAAAAAAAACGAGGGGGACAGCACACTATATCACATTACGCACACGACTCGGAGAACCTCGTGTCGGGTAATTTCGTTCGGTTTTTCGATCGGCCGAAACAATAATTATATTTCTATCCGCGCAAAGAGCCGTTTAATGTTCCGACGCGTCGGTTGGTCGCCGGCGCGCTCGCGCTGGCACTTTGCCGACGCGTCGGCGGCGGCCGCGGTTGCCGTCGCTGCCGCCTGTCCCACCAACAACAGTAATTATTAATAATACCGCCGATGAGTCCCGGCGGCTGCGGCGGCGGCGGCGGCGGCCCCGGATTGGTCGGCCGGCGTACTGCCCATTTTTCGGTGTTTTTTTTTTCTGCTTTCCCGTTCCCGTCCGGTCCGGCCGCTCCGCCCGGGGTGACAGTCCGCCCGGCCGCTCCAACCGGTTGCATTGGCAAAACGTAAATCGTGCGCGACGGGTGTAAACAAAATCGTGTATTTTATTAATATTGCAGTAAACGCCGCGCGCGCGTTAACCGCGCCGTTCGTAAATAAAAGCGTAAATATTATTATCGTATATTATTATAATACGGCCGACAACAACAACAACAACAACAACAACAACAACCGTACAATATCGCTACGATGGCGTATTATTTTGCGCGGTTACAATAACGGCCGATTCGCTTATACCTATCGCTTTTTCCCCAACCCCATTCCCACCCACCCCGGTGAATGATAATTTGTTCGGTGATTTTTTTTTTTTTTTTACCCCCTTCCCCGGTTTTTTGTTCGGTTAACGTTGTCCGGCATTTTTTCGTTTGTTTTTCTGAACGTTTCCGCGTGCTATTCGACTGTCGCGAACGAACGCGCGCGAGTGTAGGTATATAACACACGCGCATACACCCGAGTGCCGCGGCAACAGCAGCATGGACATGCTGATCGTGAAGCTCGAAGAAGTCGACGACGGCGGGAGAAAACCTCTCAACAACAACAACAACAACAACAACGTCAACGTCAACAATAACAACGGTTGCAAGAGCAAACTCAACGGCGGCGGCGGCGGCGGAAATACGGCGGCTGCGGCGAAAACTTCCACCGCGGCCGGCGGCGGCGGAACGGCCAGATCCGAGAAACCCCCGTACTCGTACATAGCGTTGATCGTCATGGCCATACAAAGTTCGCCCGTCAAGAGGCTGACCCTAAGCGAAATCTACGCGTTCCTGCAGCACAGATTCCCGTTTTTCAGAGGATCCTATCAGGTACGATAATAACGTTTTAAGACGTATAGGGCGCACGCGGCATTTCATTAATGTCGATCGAAACTAAAAGTTTATTAGGTATTGTATCTCGATATAATAAAACGTTGCAGAAAAAAAAAAAACACTTAAAATAACGCAACACAGATAACATCATGAAAAACCTCGGTGAAAAAAAAAATACGCAAATTATTTTACGCACTAATTTCGTTTTAAAATAAAGGAATTTTAAAAATAAATAAAAAAAATTAAATAAAACTAAAGTTGCGAATCAATTGATTTACGTGGTAAAAAAACAATATGTATTATAGCTGCTGCGTCTGCAATAGAAAAATATGAACAAATATCCGAATGTCAAAATTGTACAATATTATTATTTACTCTCTATATTATAGTGCATAAAAAAAAAAAAGACGACAACTCTTACAAAAAAACCGAGACTTAAAAACTAAGTGAATTTAGTTCATAGCATTTTTTATGAGTTCCTAGACGCACCAATATACTAGAAATATAAAAATTTCAATCGTTTATATGTCTGCACGGTTAAACATTTTTTTTTTATAAAGTCACAAAAATTAAATACACGACAAGTCCGTGAACACGGTCGAAACACTGACTCTGTCCCGCCACCGTCGTATCATACTAATGCTGAGCCCTTGAGAATACTTCAAATTTTATAAACAAAAATTATATAAACAACAAACTTATAAAAACTAATGGGTACAGTTAGTCTAGTTTCTCTAGAAACGGATTCCCGTAGTTGCATATTTACTGTCGTGACCAGTGTTGTGTTTTATCTATAGACGAATATTTATCTAGATAGGTTTATTTTCAGCTTTTATCTTATCTAGATAAATGAGAAATAAGTTATGTGACCCATTTATATAATTAATTTAATTTCAAGTATCATTGTTAATTTTATATGTACTAATAAAAGATAATTTGAATCTTCTAGAAAAAATGAAAAAAATAATATCAAATATTCTATTAGTTCGTTAACTAGTTTGTTAGTAATTTAATTAATTATAATATGTATTGATAAATACATTTTTTATTTTATTTATTTGTTTATTTAACGGACGGAAGTTCAATATACGTGGGACACATTTGTACACATATTTGTGTACAATAAAATGAGATAAAATCAATCATACAGCCTTTATGTGAAATCCAGATGTGTACCAAATCTGGTACCTACACATATTTACTATTTTTAGCATCTGTGATGGGTAATGAACAAAATTATCTTTTTAATTTTTTTTTATTTAAATTCACTTTTTTTTGTAGATAATTTAATTGTTATGTATCTTTTATCCACATCTAGATAATTATTTTATCAATTATCTCTTATCTTTATCTAGATATTATTAAATGTAACTATATTTATAAAACACGGGTTATGATGCAAATTCATTCCAAAAACAATATGCAATCGTGATTTAAAGATTCATCAGAAACAGGTGATCTTGATCTTGATAATGGCATTTCGTTTGTCAATTTTGGTTAAATATTGGTATGAAGGGAAAAAAAAGGTTTTTATCAAGAAAATACCTCGGATAATATAACATTGTTCCAATAATACCTGCACGTAGTCGGTTGAAAATCGAAGAATTTGCTAATTCATTTTCTGTCGATAATTTTCTTGTAACGTGTAAAAAAAAAAAAAAACATAATCATGGGTTTTAAATTTGTTTTTGTTATAAATTTGGTACTTGAATTTTGTTTTGAAATCGTGCTTTTGGACATTGGCTAATTTTAAAATGTAATTTCCCAACAATTTTTTCCTTTTTGCCATCGATCAAATTTTTGTATTTTGATGCATTTTTAAAATTTTCGGTCAAACATTTAGGCGAGAAAACAGTTGGGAGATCCTTTCTCACTTGTTAACTGTTTTTTTTTTTTTTTTTTTTTATATATTTTTAAAGCCATTTCGTTGTCATTTCGGTATATTGTACATGACATACGTACTTCACGCAAAATTATTGGCACTTGACATTTCGAAATTGTATACAAGTATATTCGNCTGTTTTTTTTTTTTTTTTTTTTTTTATATATTTTTAAAGCTTTTTAAACCTTCTTGTAGCACCAATACATACCAGTAATTTACGTCCATCCTATCTAGAGCACATGCAATTACATTACTTGAACCCATCTTTGCACCACTGTAGTTACGAACAAAATATGTCTGTGCGTTATTATCCGTCTTTTTTTTATATTTTCACGATTTTAGAGAATAATTTTATCCGACTTGTTTACAGTTTATGTCAACACTTGAAAAAAAAAAACAATTTCTCGTTACTTCTCGACCGTTGTCATTTCGGTATATTGTACATGACATACGTACTTCACGCAAAATTATTGGCACTTGACATTTCGAAATTGTATACAAGTATATTCGTATATAAGCGTGTGCATCCAACAATGTTATCGGATATTTAATATAAACATCATCTACAATTTTTTGTGAAAATATAAATATAGCAAATATATTGTATTTTCCAGGGATGGAAAAATTCGGTACGACACAATTTGTCCCTGAACGAGTGTTTCATAAAACTGCCCAAAGGACTGGGACGTCCGGGCAAAGGCCACTACTGGACGGTGGACCCGGCGTCGGAGCTCATGTTTGAAGAGAGCTCGTTCAGACGAAGACCTCGAGGATTCCGGCGCAAGTGCCAGCAGAAGACGACCACCCCGACCGTCGGCGGCGGAGGGTACCAGACATCGCAGTACCATCAACATCTCCATCATCATCATCACCATCCCAACCTACAACAGCAACATCAGCATCCGAACAGTCATCATCAGCAGCAGCAGCAGCAATCACAACCGCAGTCGCAGTCGCTGCCGTTACCACAGTCGTTGCCTCAGCCACAATCGCAGACACAGCCGTCGGCCCAACAACAGCAACCGGTAACCCAATCGCAACCACTTTCACAATCGTCAGCGCCGTGTTACCTGCACGAACAGTACGATTATAAGGACGCCGCGGCCGCGATGGTCACCGCTGGTTACCAGCAACAGGACTATGGTAGCAGTGGCAGCGGAGGTGGTAGCAGTGGCGGCGGCGGTTATTGCGGCAGGACCGACCAGTTGGACCATTTCTCCGCAAGCTTTTGGCAAAGTCAAAAGCCTGATAGTTATATTGGTGGTGCTGCAGGCGCAGGCTCGGGCGCCGGCTATCAAGATCAATTTGACTACGGTTGCCAGTACAATTTAACTCACGATAATGGTAAGCATTTTTTTTTTTTTTTTTAATTTAATGTCGATAGATATAGATAGTAATTTTAATAAATAAAATAACTGAAAACAATTATCGTTTTCTTACAATTATTAACTGTATGTCTGTATGAATGTGGCGTTTTTTTTACTATAGTTGTGGTATCTAAGTTGAAATTGGAGTTAAAAAAAAAAAAAAAAAAAAAAAAAAAAAGAGCTGATACTGCTATTAGGCGCGCCACAGTTGTAGATAGAAAGTTAAGAAGGTGGAATGTATGAACTTATCTGTAAGCACCTTAAAAGCGTTATTTTAGATTTTTTCTGTGGGACTGAATTAGTATGTTTGTTTTTTTTTTTTATTTTATTGATTAACTAAGAACAATTTAAAAAAATTCATAACTAATTACTAATACAGTTTACGTTTCATCAACATAATAAATATTAATTGCACATATGATCAGTTTCGACCCGGTTTTAATTATTTATTTAATAATGTATTACCTATGAGTTAGACATCGTTAGGTTAGGTGTGTCTTCATCATCGTTGAAGTAATATGTGATAACTGTCAATGTTTTACGAGTAATTTTGTTGTTATTTAACTTTATATTAAGATGTAATTTAGAATTTTTTTTTCTTTAATAATAATTATTAAAAGTACAAAAAAATGTAAAATTTAACAGTTTTGAAAATAAATATTATAATGTAGTATATATATATAACTAATAATACAATATAAATATCGTAAATCTCACTATTCTCACAAGTCTTGTCTGCAGTTAACCCGAAATTTTCGGAACTTGATATATTTCCATTTTTTCTCTTTAGCTCTGTAATACGTTGATCGTTTCAACAAAAATTTGCGATGGAATTTATTATATCATGGTACAGTTTTTATTTTGTTTTTTTCAAATTTTTGAATTTTTAAATAATCTTTAGTGTATATCTATCTACCTATTGTAATGCATTTTAAAAGTTCTCAGTGTACAATTAAGTAATTATGAATAACATATTATCTTAAGATATTATGTTTTTATAATATGTGCTTAATTTAAAAATTGGTTCTAAAAGAACTTTTATTTTGAATCTTTGGCGCGTTCTTCCATTTGTGTGTCTTTTTAATCTTCAAACGAAAATGTATTTCATCATAAAGCGAAGCAGAATGTTTGGATTTGTATATTTTGAGGATAATAACATGGGTTCGTACAATTATACGAACACGAGTACATCTATGTTGTATAGTACATACGTTAAAACATTTTAAGTGGTTATATAGTGACAATCAGCTGTAAATGTGACAATTTGGGTACATGACGTGATTTTGTTTTAAATATTTTGCACATCAAGTGCTTCGGTGACCTCACTTCACAATCATATGTGGATCGTAAATTATAATAATAATAATAATTTTTTTTTTTTGACAATCTAAGCGATACATTTTATGTCAATGAACTTTACGTTCATGTTTCTTGTGAAATTTGAACGTAAAACAATTTTACGTCGTTATCATATTGACCACAATGAAACCATTCAAATAAATACAAAATTAAACTAATAAAAGAAACTTAAAAATTTGATAAGGAATTTTCATTCAAATATTTAAAATAATATACTGAAGTTACTTGCAAATTTGAACCTATATTAATTCTAAGTATAACAAAGGAGTTGTGTTCATTTTACAAAAATGTAGTATACTTTGTTTACTCGAAAAACATATTTTCGGTTAGTAAAGATGCTTCAATTTTTCCATGTTATACCTTAAAATGTACGGATTTGATGCTTGATTGTATTTTCTTTGAAAAACGTTTTGCAACTTCCAATACTTTTGTCAAACAAAGTTTTTTTATACGCTTTAATTTTTTCATGTGGCACTTCAAAAGATATGGAATTTGTGCCCAAAGTACTTCATTCGAAATATTTATAGAAATTTTCAGCAGTTTACCTTCTATGTTCTTTTTTTTTTTTTTTGTTGGTCTCTAAGTTACCTTTTGAAATGAAATACTTCATAGTTGCATTCAGTATAAAAAATAAATAAATAAATTATCCTGTGTATTAGTGGTGGTCAAACGGTCGATCGAAATCGACCGGTAGATCGCAGATGATTTAAATTGATCCGTTTCAATAGATAGCGGTCGATTGATCGCACGACAATTGATAATATACGGCAGTTGATAGTAAACGATAATTAATGGTGTCATGAGGTTTTTTTAATTTCGATTTTTTACAAATAAACGTTAACACATTTATCAATAATTAAAATAATAATAATAGGTTCTCACAAATAGACTATGTCAATAATAATAATAATAATAATACTATTTTTTCAGAAATAAACTTTAACAAAGTTTTTAATGATTAAAAATATAATAGTACTTATAATAAAAAAACCAAATTTGCAGTTGAAAATTATGCGCAACCTCTCGTAAATAATCTTTTTTATTTCTATTATTATAATCACTGCATATATTTTGAATTTTTTTTGCTCGATCATTATACTTATTTTTATGGTGGTTGATTTCCTGCGATCAATTGTTCAACTTTCAACCGATTGACACGTTCTTATTTTTGTAGTGCAGTAATAAATTTCCATGTAGATGGATGAATCAATCAATTTAACGTTGACGAAAAGCAGTTATGCTATCCCTCCAATGAATTGTTTGTTTGAGGCAAATCTGCTTCCACAAGAAAAAAACAGTTTCAAATTGAAAATTACCAAAAATAAGATTTTAATAAAATGAAAATGTTGTCGAAAACGCCGTACACTGTCATTTGTCGTATAATATCAATTATCGCGCGATCTATTGTCATCAATCTATTGTCGCGCTATCAATTGACCCTTATTTATTGACGATATACCGATTCAAATGTCGGTCTCCATTTTGTTAAAATGTATTTTTATGTGATTATGCAAATAAATAACGATTTCTGATCATTTTTATCTCGATATATTATCATTATTTTGTTATAAATTTATCAAGTTATACAATTTCACAGAGTTTATCCTGGCAATTGTATTTACAATAATTACATTATATTATTCTTAATAATAATGTGACGAAAAACATTATATAATTATACATTTAAATTTTATAATTTTGTGTGTGCATGTGTTTGTATATTATTAATACCTATTAGGTAATTTATAATTATACATTTTTGTTAGAAAGTTGATCCTCAAAGGAAAAATATATTCTTAGTAGTTTCTCTACTATTAGTTCTCTAAGTTTGGGCACTTTTGCTGTATACGAGTTATACTAGTTATCCTACTTTCCCAACTATCGATGTGACTAATCAGCGAGTAGTATCAAATTTTTATTTTTCTAAATAATATAAAAATAGAAAATTATGGGTCAGGTCCAAAGTACTATTAAAGATTTAGTTAAAAAATTATTTCTTGGCTAACGATTTACATAGAAAAAATGATAATCGAAATCGTTATTTCTATGTCAAGTAACAAGTATAATATAATATATTATTACATAATAGTATTAAATTTTGTTTTGTTTTTCCTAATTTGCATTTTCAAAAAAAAATTTTAAATATTGTAAACAACTGTTTTTCCCGGTTTCTCGAAATTATACATATGTTAATTTTAAAATATTATGTATTTATATAATATTAATTTTACATTAATGTAATATTGTCGGTATACAAATATTAAAATGAATTAATTTATTTGTATTAATTATTGTTATGCTAAAAGCTTTAATATAATTATTTAGTTTCTCTTTCCCTTCCCTAAATAGATTTAATTTTAAAATTGTTTTAATAGAAAACCGGCAGGTATTTATATTACTGTATACCTGTACTAACATAGATTATGAACTAGAAGAAATACGTAATATCTGCAACAAAATGTTGCATAATTTAAAAATATATATGAATAGTAAGTAAATTCATATTATATTAACTCACAACGAAATATGAATTTTCAAAACTTCCGTTTGTTTCTTATATTATGGGCGAAGCAAGGAATTAGGTATTAGTTTTAGTATAATGTGTTTTTTCTATAAATAACTTTTCTACCAAGATTCTTGATTTGACCATCAACTTTATGGGTGGTTGAAAAGCTAGTACTTTTTGAAGGTCATTTTTTGATTTTTCTCCACGTATTTCAATAATCGGGAAAGACCCACAGGTAAAAACATCGGAAAAACGGGAAAGTTTACATTTAGGTAATCGGTTTCTGTTATTCTCGATTTTGTTTCGTTTTGTTTTTTTTTATGGTTGGATTCAGTTTAAAATAATCGTATAGACAATAGACCTGACATGTCATTGAATACATCAATACTTTCTAGAAGTAGTACAATTTTCAAAATATTCTGGCGATTTATGAGCTATTTATAGTCATTTGAAATGTTTTAGTTGTTTTAGTTTTTACATGATTTTACGCGAATGCAATTATATTGGTTGCGCAAAAGCATCAGTTCTTTTTTGTTTCGATATTTATTGGGCACCAATCTAGATACCCGATTATATAATATATGTATTATGGGACATGTAGGTGATACTATAAACGATAGTAATAGTATACAGAATTTACAGTTTTTTTTTTTAACGATTTGAGAAAAAAAATGTCTGATGTCTAATGCATAAAAGTACCTAATAGCTATAATTGTGCAATATTTAAATTAAATATTATTTAAATATACGTCATATTATACGAAAAAAATGAATCAATTATTATTAGGTACTCTACGTGCGCACATAATATTATTATCCTATAGAGATCCAACTTGATTATTATACCCAGCTGTTAACACACTTATCACCATCGAATTGTAGTCACCGAGGCTGGTCAATGTTCGCATAATATACTTGTGGTATCACGGTTATAATATATTATAGAGTATACAGATATAAGAGCGTGTTTGTCGAATTGTTATTGAACTCAAGTGGCCACGGTCCACTGATACTCTGAATTTTTTTTTTATTGTTATTGCTACGCAGAAAACCGTAAGTTCCACTAGTACCAGGATAATATTAAAGTATACTATATACATATTCGAGTATATGAACAGTGTTGAGCTATGTCTGTATATGAATCATTTTTCTAGATAGATATATTTTTATTTTTTATCTTGTATAGATAAATGAGAATTAAGTTATCTGAGTCGCTGTTTGAAATATTTTCTATCTGTACGCCGTCCATTTAGTTATTAAGAAAACAACTAGAAAAATCCGAAAATTGATCTACACAGACCAGCTAAAACACAAATAATTGAAATTCCCTATCAGAATAACATGTTTTACACTTATAAATAGGAGTATAATTTCTAGTAGAAAAATTGTTCGCACATATAATCTCTTAGAATCTAAAAAAAATTACTTTCAATGTGAAAAAAAAAAATCATTGACAAGGTTTATCTATACATTTATTAATGATTTTAAATGTTTTAATGTTTCAAAAACTATTTGAAATTGTTCAGAAATAATAAAAATGGATTTCCAGGAATTTTTACTTCCATTTAAATGTCTCAATTTGTTCGGTTGTTTTTTGAAAATATTGAACCCTAAGTACTTTACATATAAGTACGTGCATTTTTTGACTAGAAAACTTGCTCCGTTCATCAACATCAGGGAAAGACCATTTTTGATTTTTGATAACAGTATAGATAAATGATATATTAAATATTAGATTCTGAGTAGAACAATAATAAGTTGATTGAAATTTCTTATTGTTTTCAAAGATGTGGTTTTTTTTTGGTAAAATACTTTTTTGTTGATAAAAATGCTCCTATATTTTTACGCATGCAGTACCCTAAAAGATGACAAATTCCGGCTCGTGTTATTTTATAGATTATTTCGACAGTTCACTGTAAGGGTTTTTTTTTTTAGATTCCTAGTGGATCAAAGAACCTTTTGTTTTTACAAAGATGTTTATTTATTTATTTTTTTCATCTGTGCGCAATTTTTCTACCAGAAATCTTTCTCTAATTTTTAAATGTAGTACCTTTTCTGTAAGGAAATCGATGTGGGGAGGTACTTTAAAGAAGTCATTTTTTTATTTTTTCACTAGTTTTATCAATAAATGGAAAATCTGGGAAAATCCATGGGAAAACCGTAGAAAAAACGGGAAAGTAGGTACAATATTAAATACATATTTGTAAATTAAATATATATTTGCTTATGCATTTATTTTATCATGATATGACATATATATTGTTGACAAAGTAACTACACTATCAACTGAACTCCGCTCAGAATTGTTTTTTCATTATAAATGGTTAATTATTGCTAACACGTAAACATCAAATTACGTATAGCAGTGGCTATACCCGTCTCTCTTATCCTAGGACGGCTTTTTTACTTTTGTTGATTTATGGGTTACCTTGGCAACACGACTAATATTTTGCTCAGAATCTGTTTTCGTTTGCAATAATTTATCATTACACACAGTATTATACACGTAATATACTATACATTTTGAAACATACATCTACAACAGTGGCCTACCCATGGTGTGGAGTACGTGCAGCTTTTGTTTTTATTTTACACTGTCCGCGAAATGTTTTCTCACGTACCATATGTGTGCATCGTTGGTGGTAAACGAATTTTCCTTTTTATTCCCCCCCATTATCTCGATAAATATACTTTTTTTTTCGTATTATTTATGTTTTTGTGATACGATTTTGTTGATATACGTCACCGGGACTAATTTACGATATTTGAAAAGTAAAACAAACACGAATCCTTGTGATGTCAATATTATATTATATTATCTTCGTTTGTATGACGAGGCTTTTTTTTCCGTTCCATTCAATTTGACGTTAACAAACCGCGAACGCGTCCGCGACGGCGTATCATTTAAATGTGTAGTGTAGTGTGTTTCGTCGTGTTCATAAAATAAAAAAAAAAAATAATAATAATAAAAAAATACAATAATAAATATAATATAGTTCGTAATCCGTGGAGGACTAATTTCATATCACATGTTGGCAATAAAAACATTATGATAATAATAAAATATATAATGTATATAAACATTAAACATATACTTACTAGTGTACATATATTTTGACTAACAAAGAGCAGTCCTGTAGAAAATTAAAAAAAAAAATAACCAACCCCGTTGACTTTTTACGAGATTTATGTACGTACAATACCTATGTGGGTCAATGGTTTTTTTTTTATCGATACGATATTTTTTTATTCTGACCTATATATTATACGCGCGTTATTATAATATCCCTTCGGCACCCTCAGGGTGAGGACAATGTTTTTGTGTAAGCAATATCGAATATAATTATACACGGTTCGGTGAGTGTGACGAGAACGTGAGTGAGTAAAAAAAAAAAAAAAAATCGGGGGGCGGGGGAAGAAATCCGGACGTACTTCGCACCATGTGTATAATATGTTGTATACAGTAATTTAAATTATATCTATCTCTCTCTCTCTATATATATAAATCATTGCACTCAAAAAACGATTCGGAGTGGACGTATTACGGTCGTGTTTTGTCCCCCTTGTAGTTTTAAACATAAAGGTGTAACCCAGACATCAATATAAATAAAACCGATGGCATCGTGATATTTATTGTCAGTTAAATAATTTTTATCTTTGAAAATACGACGTAAATAATAATTTGGAGCGTTTTTACTATAAATAAAAAACCGTTTTCTGAGAAAAAACCGTAGTGACCTGCAATAAGTGGGCGAACTGTTGTAAATGTCAATAAATGTTTCAATACTTGAAAAATGCCGCACATTTCTAGGAACCGAGCGAAAAAATTGATGCATTTCATTGGATAATAGTAATTAAATATAAAAGTCAGTAATTTTTTTCAGAACGATTTCCCAAAGAAAATGGGTAGATACTATCAGATAAAAAATCTGTATCTTTTAATGTATTTGCGTGGTACGATCAGAAAAATTAACAGAAATAAAACCGATGTATCGGCATTCGTTGTCAGTTATTTAACCAGAGAAAATCCGCTGGAAGTTTCGAAATGATTTTAAATTAAAAAACCACGCCTGGCGAAAAATCGACGACCGAAAGATTTTTTTTCGAGAAAAAACAACCGCATCTAAAACCATGATAGCTACCAGGCTTTTTTGCAAGGATGACTTCCAATTGCACAAGAATAATTTATTCTACAGTTCCTTACGGGGAAAATTACCCTACAACCCCCCACAATGTATAATTTATTTTTAACTAAAAAAAAAAAATTGTAGGTACATATACGAAAATTAATTCAATTAGTATTTAATTTTTATTCAGAAAACCATGGCTTTCTGAGATATCTCGCCACGAATATATCTTCGCGGGACACCCTGCATAAATAACCTTTTTTTTATTTTAATACCCCCAGAGTCTTTTTCTATTTTTGGCGTCAACTCGGTTTTTTTTCACGCATTGCCGTTGTGAATTAGATACACATATTTTACATAATTCTCAGACGCAAATATTACTATGGCGTTTTATGTTTCCCACTGTATGATTAGTTGCCCGCCGCACCTTACAGAAAATCCCGATAGTCACGCTAGGAATCTCAACTAATACAATAATATTCCGAACGCGTGATAATGGCCGGGGTGCAAGACGACGGCGACGGACGACGAGACGTGTTTTTATGCACTGCGTGTTTTACGTACACAGACAGACAGCTATAATAGCCTCGTCGTACGTGAAATTTGGATGGTATTTTAAATTATTTTCGTATGTGCGAGGTCAAGATAGAGCGTATTAGGTATAATGTGTAGACACATATATGTACGTATGCATATAGGTATTCATCGCCGATCGCGTAGGTCCCTGTTGGAAACGCACGTGGCCTTGTCAAAAAAAAAATTTAAAAAAAACACAACACCGAAACCACTTGTTCCAATCGTGTCGTATGTACCGTAATACGTGAAATACGATGACATAATATTTTTGCCCTTTTTTTCTTAGGTTTTTTTTTTTTTTTTTATCGCTCCGTCGATTTCACCGCACTACGACAGTGTGTGTAGTACGTTTTGGCCAAAAGTCAGACAAGGTACAAGTGGGTGTGAATAATGTATATATGCGCGTCTGTTCGCAGACGCCAGCTATTTAATATAAATTACGGTGTGTATTATATACTTATGTATAGTACCGATTTACTTTGGTGGCCGGCGGACGACGGACGCGTTTCGGCCGGTCGATTTTTGAAATTAAATGTTAAACGTCGAACGTTCGAATCGTATGTATTGCGTGCGTGCGCGTGCGACTTTACATAAAAAAATTACATTCTTCAAGTGCCCGGTATTAAACTAATAAGACTATAAATACCTGTATATTTCACGCGTATATTTATAAACGACAGTCTGAGGGGGGATAGGAGGGCTACATACTCTTGGCGAGACCTTTTTCCCCGAAATAAAAATAAGTTTTTTTTTTAAATTTGTTCATTTATCATTTCGTGTATATTTTTCAATATCGACGGCGGTCGGCATTTATCATTGTAATATTAGTACATAATATAGTTTCACATACGTCGAGGTTCTTGTAGTTTTTTTTTTTTTTAAAAAAAAGTAAATTTCTCACAATGTCGGTGAATATTTCAAATAGAGTACCATCGGACGAATATCCGCATCTCTTAAGGTACCTATGACATGAAAAAAATCTGAGCCAGTTTGACTATCCAAAAAAGTGTTTTCTGTTGGGAAAAATACGTAGGTTTTTAGAAAACTACTAGCTTCACTACTCTCAGAATCTAAAAATAAAAATAAGAGACGAAACATTGTGGCGCCTTCTTCTTGCAGCTCGGGGCTACAGTACCCCCATGGCCTTCCTTTATCAACCTTTATTCGAAACCACTGCTTGGCTAGATAGACCATTTCCGTTTTTTCATAAATTATGCGTATCTTTTATTTTAACACTTTTCATAATAGACAGAGAATGTGATTAAAAATCTACCGACTTCAAAAAATGTTTTTACTTGTTTTTTTTATCCTTTGATTACATTAGTAATGAACTTCATAATAATAATATAAGGACAATCGTGTAATAAAATACCAAAAAAACCCAAGAAATTAATAGTTTTGTCAAATTTAAAATTAAAGTATTATACATTTCCCATTCAGTAGTTTTTACTTCCAAATTTGGAATGGTGTATTTTCTTGAGCTCAGTCCTATCAAAAACAGAAATCAATACAAGAAATTCAATTTAACGTGCCTCTCCGTTTCCACCCTTATGACAGTTAATCGTTTTCGTCCGGCAATTTATCATTTAAAGGGTACCCCCTTGTTTGTGACAACCGGATTATATAACAATAACCATATTTTTTCATCCGTGTTGTCAAGGTTACTTATTAATAAAAAAAAATATCAATATATTTTCGTTTCTGAAATACGAAAATCCCGTGCCAGCCACCTAAACTAACCAAATTAACCCTATTAACCTAACCCTATTAGAATCTTTAAAACGGTAATTTTTTGAAGACCTACAGTTTTGCAAATTCATTTACGTATAAATGAATTGTAACATTCGTCCAGAGTCTCATGATTTAATATTAAATTGTTTATTTTGCATTTTTTAGTCGAATTTTATAATAATTATAATTATTATCGAGGAGATAAATAGAATAATTGTGTGCATAATTCTATATGTACTGGACACATTTTTGAGTTATTAATAATAATAATATTGATATTGATATACATAGTGATTTTTTTTATCATGAACCAGTAATTATCTCGTAGGATTTTAAGTGAATTTGATTTCTGTTTTGTTTTTTTAACTGTTTTTTTTTTACTGTGGAATTATTAGGCTTTATTTTTTTCTTTTTATAAACATAAAATGTATAACTCTTTCCTACTGTTCCGGTTTAAATTTTAAACGGTTTTAACTCATAAACGGTAAATCTGATATTAGTGTTATGCATACCGAAATTCATATGAAAAATAATATCCTCTATTCAAATTTGTTTCCGAAAAGGGGGTTCCTATTTAAAAAAAAAAAGTACTTATAAACTTATTCAAGGTAGTTAGGTATATGGAATATGAGTAAAAATTAAAAATATTTTAAAATAAAATTTAAACGATTCCACAATGATTAAAAAAAAAAAAAAAAAACATCGAGATAATATCGAATACTGCAGTTTCATAAGCACATCATTAACATTAATACATTCTACTGCCCTCCTCTTGCCTTCTTCGGTTATAATATTCTGCATTTTTTTCAATCCGTTTCTAATTTTTATTTTCAGATTATAACAGCGCCATAAGAAGATCGGCGGCGGTCACCGGACAAATACAACAGCCAGTTATGAACAACACTATGAATGCCGGCAGCGGCGTACTGCCGCAACACTTGGGTCTCCATCATTACTACGACTGTCCTAAGTTTTGTTAACGAAAAAAAACAACATTGCGATATTCGCATGTCAGATTTTCACATTTCATACAATATTAGCAAAACCGAATTAAAGTCGTTGAAAACTCGGTGAAACCCGTAAAATTACCGTATAGGTACAATATTATCAGATTTCGGTTATTTGTAAAACACTTTATACAAATATTTTGTACACAATTTACGAGTCGAACTTTTTGTAAAAAACTTATGGATAAAATTTTAAATCCAAACAAAAGTTTACATCGCAGAAATATTCATAAAACATATTAGGTTATCGCATACGCTTTTATTCGAAAATTATGGTTTTCGCTTTCAATAAAATATTCTACCGTATAACTTATTGTTATCGCGATAAAACAAAATAAAAAATAAATATAAAACCCATAACCTAAAAAATGCACATAAAAAATATTGCACACTATATAATAACTGGCTAAAATATAATCCGAGAACAGTGTGAAATAAAACGATTTAGTGAAAAAAATTACTCGCCCTCCTCAGAAAAACTTTTTAAACAACAATAATAATTACGATTCGGGAAAAGTTCAACGTTCGGTTACGTAGAAAGTTTTCGTTTTCATTGTTATTTGAGTTTAAGTAAATGTCGACGAAATATACAGCCAAAGCGTGCGTGTATACCATCCCCTCCCCTCCCCTCCCCTCACCATAAAAAATAACGCGTAACGCGAAAATGAATTTATGACCTCCCGGGACGTATGCAAAAAGAAAAAAAAAAACGCGGTATAGCGGTTACGTCTAAGAAGCGTAATTTTTTTCGTTTTATTTTTTAATTCAATTAGGTACGTACATTAATTATATAATTTACTCATTAACATTATTTAAGCATGTAATATATTAGTATTATTTATATTTGCCAAACTGTTGTACATAATATTGTAATACTGTTGAAACGCGAAAGTTTGACATTTCGTGTTGGAAAAAAAAAAAAAAAGGCTGAAAATAAAATAATAAAATGATTTATGACAATAAGTAATATTATATGATATGTATACTAATATAATTTTACAATATGATGATACATAATGGTTGTATATATAGATATTTTATTTTTTTAGGATTTATATTTTATGTAAACTACTATGTAACCTGTACGATTTTTTAAAATAAAATATTTTACAATATTAAATTACGTTACGCGCAATCGTCAATGTCGCCTGCAGGATTACTTGCAGGTTCTTGAATCCCAAGCGAAAACTAGAAATGTTTAGTACACAGAGTCGGATTAGGGGAACGAGGAGTGTATTGGTTTTGCCACGGGCGCGTGTTCATTTTTCGACCATCCGATCAAAAAATTACACGAGACATTTTTTGTTGCGTTTTAGATATAGTTGGTGAATTGAGAAGGTTATTTTATTGATTTTTCAAGTGATTTTTCCAATAATTGGAAAAAAAAAAACAGTAAAAAATTACTCATAGGAAACACGGGTAAATTTATAGCAATACGAGATTCATTATTTTCGGTTTTTGTTTTTCTACCACAAATCTTGTTCTGAATTTCAAGATTCGAAATTTTCTTTGAGAAAAGACGAATATACAAACCATGTTTTAGTTTAAATATACATTTTGAAATTGAAATTTGTAATTTCCGTCAACGCAACATTGAGGAAATATTTCAATTTTATTTTTTTTCGGTTTGTGGGCAGGGGCGGATAATAGCGGAACGTACTCAAAGGCCGCCAGCCGCAGTTCCCCACAAATTATGTCTACTGTTCTCTCCTACACAAAATTAAAAGTCTAATATCTCGTCGACAACGGGTTGGCGTTGAACTCCGTAAAGGTACATAAACTAAAACTTCGCCTGTTCATGGAATATTTCAAATAGGTTTCTATATTTGAAAACCAATAGGTGTAGTTGTGAAATGGCTTGACACCCGAACAAAATTTCGGCGAACAAAATTTTAGAGCTACTTGTCTCTGAAATTGTCTAACAAGAAAAAATTCAAAACATTCCGAGATAACGAGTGTCTTACGTTGCGTTCGTCGCTCCGCATAACCGCACGGCGGAGAACGCGAGCTGATTTCGGATAGGAATGAAAATATAATCGAAACCCGCGGCCTAATACGTAAGACGATATTATAAAAGCGGCATTTCGAAAATATTCTTAGGTCGACGAGCATAAGGACCACCCGGACCCACGTGTGGTACACGACGCTCTGACGTGAGCACATCACACGCACATACACAATCGCATAATATTATACTACCGTGTCGTGCGATGAGGACTTTTGGTGTATTACACGAGAAATCGTTTTATTTATTTTCATTTTATTTCATTTTTTTTTTTTTTTTCAGAAACGCCGATTCGGTCGAACATGTGTTAATATGTGTGTGTGTGTGTGTATGTGTGTGTGTGTGTGTGTGTGAGTGTCGTGTTTAATAGTTTACAACACCCGAGTATGATGGTGTCAAGGTGTGTGTGTGTGTTTGTCGTGCGCGCGCGCGCGTGTGTGTGTGTGTGCACATCAAAACCTCTAGACAATAAAACGCATCCGAAACGTAAACAGAATCCCTTCGTATGATGTAAACATGGCCCGGAGTCAAAGAATTCGTATATATACCGATTTCGAATCCTTTAATTCTATATAAAAAAAAAAAATTTAAAAAAAAATCGCCTCCGGAAGAAACGACCTAAATATATATATATATATATATATATATAAATGATATAAATTATTAAACTTTTTTTTGTTTTATTTTTATTTTTTTTTGACGTTCACTAAAAATAAAAAATAATATTAGACGCCACCTCTGGTCGTGTGCGTGTTTTTTTTTTCTTTATTTTTTTTTTGTGATGCTTTTTGCTGCATCAGTCGATTCGATAAAATTCGACTGCGCCCGCCCACGACCGCCCGCGCGCCAAGGCTTTGGTCGACAGAAAATCCCATCGTAAAAAAGGGTCCTTTTTTATTTATTTATTATTTTTTTTTTTTGTACACGTTATTCTATATATCATATAATATCGTACGACGTACTAATCCACGTACGTCTTCCCCTACCACGTCCCACCATAAACACAGGCATTGGAAATTTTCTTCTGTAAATCACATTACGCGCGTACATTTTTTTATTAAACCTTTTCCGTATAGATTTTGTTTTCATAACAAAATAAAAACGAAATTATACGACGTCACTCCGGAAAAATGATAAAAACTTTTACTATAATAGGTTTTTCTTCAGTCTAGTTACGAAATCGTTTTCTCGACGAGTTTTTTTTTTCAATACGCTTACACGTTTAAGGGAAGATTAATATTGTCTAGTATAATATATCTATATACGTACACTTACTCTCTGAACCGAAATGAAAGTCGTTAGTCGATGATAATAACAATTCACAATAGTGTATCTAATGTGATAAAATAAAAAAAATGTCGATACTACTGATTGATGTAGCGCTGTTTTTAGGAGGGAAATTGGAAGGGAAGATATATAGAGTAATTTAATATACATGTCAACGCATTTATAAACCATAATGAAAAACGATTCTGAACAAAATGTAATTGGTCGCATTTTTCCCTCGTTGTCAAGATAACCCAGAAATTAACAAAAAATGTACACATAATTATCCGATTTCGCCCAAGCCTTCCCGTGAATAATATCAAATAAAATAATATCGTAGTATCCAGGAATTGGACATGACGAGTAAAAACTACATTAATTTGACCTGCACTTCCACATTGAATAAGGGCGGACTTCGACTCAAAAATATTCAAGTTTACTGTCTAGTACACTTACAAGTAGACCGGCGTAAACTGTTTTTAGTATGTAAGATCTGCTCAATTAAGTTAAGTTGAAAAATCAGATTTACAGCATGGACAAAAAAAAACGTGCACTATGCAACGTTGTTTATAGTTTTTCGATATCGTTACTACGAAAATAACTACTCTAGTTTGAAAAACTCATTTTATAACAAGAATTACTTTTTTTGTGTTATATGTAAACCGCGAATAATGGCATCACACCCTCTTGAGTGTTGCGCGGTTCGGGTACTGCTAGATTATAATATTATATTATTGTAGTCGTCGAATCGATCGATAATCCATTCGATTTGCATATGCTGAGCTGCAGCGACCTACTACGGATTCACGTAAAATCAACTCCCCTTCCCCTCGAGTCTCCGTTAAACTATATAACGCGTAGGTACACTTGACCGATGTGTACGATAATAACGATAGGACTGGAAGTGCCCGTGTGCAAAGTTAAGTTCATTGTTACAGACGTCAGCAAAACCATTGTAATATATGATGATTGAGCCGTCGAAATTCGTTCGGACGTCTTCTAATGTATATATTATACACGGTGCACGGATTGAAAAAATAAAAGAAGAGGGACTATGAGAATTAAAAAAAAAAAATTAACGTCCTTAGCAATTATTGAACTTGAAAACGAAACGAACTCGCTAATTAACTGAACTAACATAACAAAAAAGAGACGTATCCCCTCCATTCCAATAGGCATAATTAGTGAAAGGGGATTCAAAAAAAAAAAAAAAAAATACATATATATAATAAAAGAGATCCGTCCCTTATTATCCCCACTCCGATTCGAGCATTGTGTTTACATTATTTAATCTAACCCCGTCAAATACTATAAAAATATTATACGAGCATATACTGGGTGAAAAGAAAACCAGAGCCTCAAAATATTACGATGTCCGTGCATATTACCTACTCGTTAAATAAAAATATCAAATAAACTTTTATAGAAAACTGAAAAAATATAGCGTGAAACATCCGTTTTAGGGCGAATCAAAAAAAAAAAAAAAAAAAAAAAAACGTAAACCGTTTCACCAGAGAAATTATAATTCTACGTAATATTACATAGTTATAATTGTATGTAATTTTAGAGTTAGGCTTGCAATTTATTAATTTATTAGATCATATTATATTAGTGTACTGAGAAAATGGATAGGTATGAAGTACCAAACAAATATAAGATTTAAGAATTTTAAGTCAAAGGTATAAAATTTAAAACGGCACGTTTAGTGCAAAAAATATGTCACATTTAATACTGTAAAAAAAAAAAAAAAAATACTCTATACAATTATTCGGAACAGTATAGGTATTGAACACTTTTGATAATGTATTTTTTAAATATTTAGAATACTTAAAAAGTATATTATTTGTATAAATTTGGCAAATATAATATGATTAGAACGCGCAGGCGCAAAAATTCAACGTGCAATCATTGTTCGATTAACGAATATTCCGCAGGGATATTGTAACAGCGGCCGGCTTGCACTGTGATAATTATTAAAAAACGATCACACAAACGGACGATTCTAAAAAAAAAAAAAAAAAAACAATTTTAAAATTGGGGGGAAAAAACGAACCGATATATACCTACAGCACTCTATTATCGCGGCATATAAAGTTTCAAGGAAAAAAATAAATAAATACAAAAAAAAAAAAAACCCCGTTGAGCAGCACTTATGGTAATTATTTTTTCTTTTTCGTGCCGCGCCGATTAAAAACGGAAAAAAAGAAAAATGTGCATCGTTTCATTACTTTTTATATTATTTGGATCTCTATATTTTTTTTCTCGCCCCTCCTCGTATAATTGTATTATTATTATTTGGTGTCGGAGACACACTTCCGTCTTTGTGGACGGCGGCCCGCCGACAAAGTGCTATATTATTATTATTATTAGTATTATTATTATGATAGCATAGATCGGATAACGATATCCATTAAACATCTGGTATTTTAATCTTTAGCCTTACCGCCATCGTCCTCTGCGGTTCGTCGTCGTTTTTTTTCATTTCGTTCGATCGTTTTCACACACACACACCGTCGTCGCGGTAATAATCGTTTTATTATTGGTATTGATGGGACGTCAAACGTAGAAAAAAAAATACCATATTATTATTATCCGCACGCGGTACAGAAAATTACTTTATACGGGTGAAAAAATGTCCGGGCGTGTAGAAATAAAAAAAATAAAAAAATTACCGAAAACAGAAAAAACCGCGGTGGGAAATTTCCAAAATCTAGATCCAAAGGATTAAACGTGGGTGTGTATAAATGCAATTAAAAATAGCATTATAATAGCATACTGTGTACTAGCTGTGCTACCCGGCTGCGTGTTTACAGACTCTATCAGAATTCGGCGCAAAGCGGTATGTAAGTACTCAACCAAAGCTTGACAAGTTTTTAAATAAAAAAGTAACTAGTTAAGTTGCTAATCGAAAATGGACAAGTTATACAGTGACCGGTTTTTGTAGGAATATACAAGACTTGCCTTCATGAGTTGATGTCAGAAACAATTTTACCGTAGTACGTTTTCAAAATGTTATCATACTACAGTATGATGTAAAAATCAAGGTGTATCAACACCTTGGTAAAAACACATTTATTTTTGTCCATCATGATAGGTGAACTGTCGATACCTTCAGAAAAAAAACAGTCCGAGTTGCAAGACATCGGCGACAAAATGATGAAAACTAACACGTAACTCTTTTGATTCAAATAAAATGTAGTCGTTATAAGTTGCTCTTATATACGCGCAAAAAGTAACTCGTTAAGTTACAAATTATAAGTAAACTAAAAGTAACTAACAAGTTATAAATTTACTGATTTTTGTAACTTTGTAACTAGTCACTGCTCGCATTTGTATCCGACCTTATGTTGTCGCGTTTCATCAACTAGGGTACGTGCTGTAAGTTTTACCTGAAACTTTTAGGTTTACACTTAAGGCGATTGTCGGGTTCGGACCAAGAATTATTGGTTATTTTTTAATAAAATTTTCGAAAACCAATTAGGTTTCGTAGCGGCTTGGGTCACATTCAGATGGGGCGTGTAAATAGACCACTCTGAGTTGTCCAAGCTAATTTAATCTCCTCGTTGTTTTTTTTTGGCCATTTAAAAGTAGACTTTTTTGAAAATCGTCATTTCAAGAACCGAAATCAATAAAAGAAATTCAATATTCGTATTGATATACCGGGAAATCACAGGTGTATGGTTCGGCGCCCGCGGTACCGATTTCTGTCTCGTAAAAAAGTCTTTTTCAACATCCACGGGCTAAATACGTTTTGAACATTTTGGAGGGTTCGTTGGACATATCACTTGCATTCATAAGGTTACTAATTTCATACATTATTCGGGGTTTATTTTTTTAGTATTTTATCGCTTATATCGGCGGTTTTCAACCATTTCGGCTCTTCTGGTTTCGAAAACCAAATCCACGGCTCCCCTGCGAACAACGATAATAATAGAAATTAAAACGAATACAATCGCTGTGACACTCTGCCGTATTCGCTATAGACGCGGCTCCCCTGATGATAAACCGCGGCGCTCCCGATAGCCGCACAGGTTGAAAACCGCCGGCTCGGATGTATAATTTTGCCGAGAAGCCAATGCCGTCATTGAAATACCTCGCGCTATCACTACTTGCGTCCATAATAACGTCGAACCTGTGAACACCGCGGTCTTTTTTTTTAGCGGCGCGCGCGGTGTGCAGTCTGCCGAAAAATAAAAAATTGTGGCGTATACGTACCGTTTCGCAATGAACACCGAAAGACCGTTCAGAGTTCGCGGGATTCCGTCGGAATTCGAAACGGCCCGGCGTCCGAATTGCCGGCGGTTCGGCGGGACTGTCAAATCCACGTTAATCTATTCCGGTGACTCCCGCCGCCCGCGGGCACGGTGACACGCGACGGTTTTTTATCGAAAATAAAATACGCGGGCGTTATACTCTATTGTTTCTCTCGTATGAACAATATATTATTACAATGTTACGACAACAATAAGCGGTCATGTTCCAGTGCGATTTGGCGATTATCGTTAAGTTTATTTATAAGTCATTTCGGAATATTTCCGATAACGTCCGTTGTACGTTTTAAAACAACGGTATAACTAAACGGTATACGGGTCGACGTTAATAATAACGTATTATGTCTACAACGTAATAATGTGTACTGTCCGATACGATAACAACGGTAATAACATCGTTGTAAATCGTAAATAGCGATGTTGAGCCGCGTTCGCGCCAAAACGACATCAGTGAATCAGAGAATCGACTTGGCTGTCGAAAACGATGTTTGGCGGTTTTCGTTCCGGCAAAGTTGTCGATAACGTGACGGTTCGGCGCGGACCGAGGAAACATTTGGCCGCGAACTGGCGCGGTGTTGTGGTGTTTGAAAACACGACGGTTTTAAGGGGCGAGGACGCATACGCGGTCAGTAGTGTCTTGGTCGGCGAAGCGGCGATGAACGTAAACAAAAAAAAAAAAAAAAAAAAAAAAAACATTGTTTCGCGAACAAATGTCCGCCTCGGATTCCTCTGGGGACCGCGGATACCGTCTCCGGCGCGGGAGTTTCGACATTTCGTCGCCCGTTCCGTCGGGAGCGCGATAAAATTCCAGACGTCGGCGACTGTCGGGAAAACGGTTCGCGCGGCCGATCGCGTGTCGGCCGCAGTGGCCCGTTTGGCGGACGCGGTTTCGCCGAGGCTACGAAACAATACGTCACGGTAACCGCAATGATAACGCGTGTTGTTTTCCACGCGTGAAAATATGCTGAGAAGAAAAAAAAAAAAAAAAAAAAAAACAACCAATCACTCTCTGTATTATTGTATCCCGGACGTCGTCGTGCGTAAATATTCCGTTTTACGTATTCAGTATAAATAGCCCGCGTAATGAATAGCAGCGCGTACGCGTACGCGTGTGATACGTGCGCGTAACAGACGAGTGCGCAATATCACTGTGCGTACACACGCCGTCAACAAACAAAAAAAACAACGTATTGCACCGAGCGCCGGAACAACCTGAGCCGTTAGAGCATATAGAGAGTACATAACGCGACGTTTTTTTTTTATTTTTTTTTTATTTGGAAGACTTAAAATTAAAAACAATAATAATAATAATAATAATAATACAAAACATAAAGACGTAATGATAATACAACACGAATCGACTAATTATTTTAATAAATTATATTATATCATAGTGTATATAATGCAATGGTTAACGTATATAATATCGATAGTACAATATGTATTATAACGACTACGTGTTCTAAAATGTAACCGTATTGGATTAAACGATAATAATAATAAAACACACGAAAAAAAAATTAACAAAATAATATTTTAATACGTTGGAAATGTTTAATAATAATATCGTCGCGTGTTCTCGACGGGTATAACGTTACGATTCAATTATTTAATAACACATTATGCATATTTTATGTTTGTATTTTTTTTTTTTTTTTTTTTTTTTTTTTTTTTTGTTTTTTATTTTCCGTTTCGTTTAAATGAATATTTTAAAATATTTACGCGGCGCGAAGTACGAAACGGATTCATTGAGTGCAGTCGAGTGTACCCTACGAATTATTGAAAATGTCGCGATTGCGCCAATCGGAAAAACACTCGAATTTCTGCGCGGGAAATTATTGTGCGGGTACGTGACGCTAATAGTAAGCAAAACATTGGACGTATCGATTGATTTTAGTTTAATTTTACAACTTTTTTTTTTCTTGGAATTGTGGTAGAACAAAAAAAAAAAAAAAAAAAAAAAATCATATTAGTAGGTTTGGGAGCAAAATCACTTTCGGATTTAACATCGCACGCGGTATTTCGTATACAGCTATTAATACGAGAAGTATTAGGTTGTAAATTATAATTTTCCATCGAAACCGAATAACTCACGGTCGGGGTCGGTAGACGAAGGCAATTTCGGATATTCTGAAAAAAAAAAAAATAATCACGTTAACCTGGACGATTCGTAAGTATGGTTTATACGAACCGCCGAAATGCTCTTTTCCGCAACGGTAAAATAACGTATTAAAAATACTCGAAGACAGTTGAAAAATAATCATTTTCAGTTGTTATTGTTTTTGGTTTTTTTTTTTTTATCAAACGCGTTTTTTCGTGATATCGGAACTTGCGTTATTTTTTCAACACAATCTATAAAATTTTGTACGTCTGACGTGAACTCTAGAATGTTCTTACTGGCTCTTAAGCACGTATCCCCGTTCGGTTTGTTGGACGACTTTTTTTTTTTTTATTTTCCTAAACTGACCGATTGGTTTTTTTTTTTATAGAATAAAATAAATCGGAGGACGTTTTATAATGATTTAAAGATCACGCGCGCAAAAAACGAAATAATAATGTATACAGAATACACGCGCAATATTGTTGTTACGAAATTATCGAATGGAAAAAAAAAAAAAAACAATAAAAAAAAAAAACTTTAAACACTTTTAGTTTGTCTGCGGCGTCATACGCGCCGTATCGATTACAGTCGGCAACCGATTGGACGGCGGCGTATGTTTAAAAGTATCGTCAAAAAAAAAAAAAACCAAAACCCTTGACAATTAATGTCTGTGGAATTGTAATAGTAATTGTTATAATAAAATATAATCTATAATAATACAGTAACTTTTGACGTCATACAAACATGATTTGGGATGGTTGAGTGGAGGGGGGGGGTTTATTGATTGAAATATATTTCGCATTTTGTCCGGAAACGCGTACGAACGTATTTTGCCCGTTGTATAATCTCTAATACGGCGGCGATAGAATAACATAATATTATTGTTGTTGCGTAACTGGATATATTATATTTTAAAACAGAAACAACAAAACCGTAATATTATCGTGGGGGGGGGGAAACATAATAAAAAAAAAAAAATTAAAAAAAAAAAAAAAAAGAAGAAGAAAAATAATAACACGAATAAGACGAATCAAACAATTAAAAACGTTATCCTGGACATAATGTCGATATTATTGTGTTGTAGAGTTTTGCAGTAGAATAATGATAACACGAATAAGACGAATCAAACAATTAAAAACGTTATCCTGGACATAATGTCGATATTATTGTGTTGTAGAGTTTTGCAGTAGAATAATGATTATTTAGACGTAGACGAATGCGTTTGGATGGATGGATGGCGGGTGGCACGATCTATATTACGGGACGGACGCTGTCGGTATGACGCCATTATCTGCGGAATTGTCTTTACTAATGGTTCCGTGCGGCGAAGCGGGCGTGTTATCGTCGACGAACAGCGGGTTTTTCACTTCCATTTCTCCAGCCTAGACGAACAGAAAGAAAACCAACACGCGTGCATTCACGTTAGCTATATTATGTGCGCTGCGGTAGTTTTCGCGATCGCGTGGCCCGAACGATTATCGTGGGACGAATGGCGGTTCGACAAAACAAAACCCGGCGGAGAAAATCGGTTTTATCCGGGAAACCGGGATATTCCGCGATGGAAACAGGGCTATCCGGGAAAAAATACGAAGGAGTTTCTTTTTGTTTAAAAATTCGTCATTTTCCCTCCCCCCCCCATTCCGTCAATTCGATCACCGGGAGTTTCGTTCCTAAACGTTCCCGTTTTCCCACAGAAATATCCTGTTCATTACGCGCGACTATTCGAGTAGTCGCAATGTAGACGTTTCGAGGTTTAGAACAATTTTGAAAAATAATTTACATTATAGTGGGAATACAAAATAATCATACGGAGGATGTACCTGTTAATCTATTCACCGTAAGTTGACCCACTCGCTCGGCGAAAACCCTTCGAAAAAACCTCCCGATAAAAAAATACCCTCTTCATGCACGATCGCGGCGGCAGCCTGCTGCTTACTACGGCCGGCAGCGACGACCGTCGAACACCGCCGACCAATCACAGACCACGGCGGCTCAGTATACATGCGCGGAAGCGGGTCAACTTACGATGAATAGAGTATAGTAGCATTAAATGTGACTGGATAAAATAGATAAAAACAAGGTTTCAAGGATATTAAGGATAGAAGAGAAATATTGTATAACACTGTTATTGTGTAGCCTGCGACCATGTACTGACCCGAGTGTTTGACAATGAATAAAATAGATGAAATAAAATATGTGGATATAAAAGAGATGATAAAATGTCAGGCGGACGTGTAGATAGATCGGGTTGTCTGGAAATAACGCGAAAAATAATAAACAAAGAGAATAGAATAGACCTAACTTGAGTGGTGAGTAAAGTTGTGAAGAGGAAGGAAATTACAACTTCGATATCTGGAGTTTAAGGGGATTGGAAAAATGCGACTTGTCGACTGGAAATACAAGTCAAAATGTATAAATAAACTACCAAAAAAAAAAAAAAATGCCACTATAAATGGTACAAGTTAAAGCTAAAAATAAATGCACATAGATAAATATTTTTTTAATTTTAATTTTAAACATTATTTGCTAATTATAAACTGATAAAATTAATTTTGTCGCATATCGTATAGAATCCAAATTTATCCGAAATAAAAAGTTCTTGGGTTGTCCGTGTTTTGCATTATTCACACCGTCCGGGAATTTAAAAACATAATCCGATCAGATAATGAGAAAATTATATAGGGAACTTTATCGAATTTTTATATTTTTCGAAGTTCGAACAAATCGCGAACGATTCATTGTAAAAAGTTAAAGTTCCACAAACTCGGTAAAGAACCGGGCAGGAGTGGGAGATAGAATCGTTTCATTATTCCAATAGCGAGTATTAGTTTTCTAAATTACGTTTTTCTATTATAGGCATTTTTTTTTATAGGTCAATAATTTTGTTTTCCCCGTGACCTATCCGACGTGAATCTGTACGGAAAATCGGATTTTATTTTCTTTGTGGGCTCGCGAAGTTCAGGTGGCCGACGGAAAAATATTTTTGGACGAATTATCGGAACATTTTTTTTCTCCGACGACCTTTGCGGCTGTACAACGTTTCCTCGGCGGTGTTCCCCATAACCGCGTAGGTACCCATCCGATACAAACAACGTACATCGATCGTGCCAATATTTTTTACGACCAGGTGCTTAGCAAATTAGCGAAACGCTACTTACGGGCGCCAATCCTGGACATTCGTAAACCGTGTAATCGCCTTCCTCGTTGTCGTCGTCACTGTCCGGATCGGTGACTGAACCGCATCGGACCACTTTGGCCGAGTTATTCCTGTAAAACGAACACGGTTATCAACGTAATCGTCACAGCATTATGACAGGTGCGCAATATTCGCATGCACGTGACCGCATTCTCCGGCGCGCGGTACCTGCACGATTTATTATGGCGACTATGGAAAACTGAACGAGAAGGAAACCGATTTTGTTCGTTCCCCGGTCGTCCGTTATACTGACATTCTGACAATAATAATATTGTCGACGTTTCGTTCGATCGCTTACGCCGCACGACGTCGGGAAATAAATTACTCACGGTATAAACAAGGCAGTACAGTACCTATGTTGTTATAATAATACGCTACGTTTCTTCCCTTTAAACGTTATCGAAATTAAAAAGTATCGATTCGCCGTTGCGCTAAACGGTGGGTTTGTTGGTATCGTGTGCACTGAAAAAGTATACAAAACAAGATTTGCGTTCTTGAAATATCTAAGGTTTCTCGTGTATTACGATATCGATTCCGCCGCCCCCGCCGCCGCCGCCGCGCGAAACGGTATGCAATATAATATATATGTATATTTTAACCGGCCAAAACTACTTGCGAGAAAAAAAGAAAAAATTGAAAAAAAACGAAATTATCATTAGGTAGGCACTGACCATTGATTACAAATAGCGTTGTGACGCCAAATTTACGATTTCAAGTTAATAATTTGGTTTATGCATCGGCCAGAGCTGTGCTAACAAGACGCTTGTGTGTATTTCAATTGGATATTTTACTAACTTTTATGTATATATTTTGCCCGGGTGAAAAATGTTTTTCAAAATGTATTTGTTATTTTAATTTGTTCTCTATTTGTGCTATACACCTACGTAAGATTTATGGAGGATTTTTCTTTTTTTTTTTTCGTCAATATAATACTACACTATTAACATAAATACTGTACTTAATATATAAACTTAATACATAAATAAAACTGCAGTATAAAATCTTATAAGACGTGTATATAAAATTTAGTTTTTTACGTCTTTTATAACTTTATAAGTATGCTACTAAAAAGTACGGATTTTAAATACATATATTTTGTAGAACAAGTTCGCTGCTATTAAATAATAAACTAATTGTTTTCATAAAATTGGAACTGTAGTTAAAACCAAAAAATTATTAAATTACGCTCTACTTTTTTTTTTAACCTTTATGTACAACCTAATGATGACATTATTTTTTAATTGTCGAGGATTTTTATCTGTATAAAATGAAATAAATACTAAAAATAACCATTGTTTTTAGAAAAGAAGTCAGAAGGAAAGATATTATATAGAATAATTGTATTTATTTCTAAACGCAACGATACTCAATTGTTAATGAAAATCGATTCTGAACAAGGTATTGTACGTCTTGCTTTTCCCTTGATCCAAGGTAACCCGGAAATCGACAAAAATTATACGAATAATTTCCAGTCATCTGAAATGTTTAAGAAAAATACAAGGAAAATCAAAAATGCACCGACTAGTAAAAATTTGCTACCAAAAACCACCACTCAGGTCAATGATCGCAGAAAGAATAATGTCGAAAAAATCAGTGTTTAGGAACAGAAAAGAAAACCGCATCGTAGTAAAACCAATTCGTTGCGCTCGGAAACTAAAACATAATTTTATAATTATTATTTATATGAAACACTCATCTTGAACTGTATTATTCGTCAACATAACACAACCGATATAATAGTCCGGACTAAATTTTGCTTACTTATATTATGCACGGGTATACGTATAAAAATATCGTTGTATAGGTATTTGTTTTGTTATTTTTTTTTTTACGATCATAATTTATGTAAATCAGTCGGTCGAAGTGACGTTAAGTACGATCGGTTTGACAATTCGTCACCGTAAAACTCTGCAACTCGGTAGGTTTAACAGAAACACAAAATGGTGTTCCGCAAGAAACACCTCGGGGCTTAGACAGCCAACACAATGCGGCACATTATGATAATGGTGTTTACATTACTACTCCGGTTACTTTAAACTATGGTAAATATTTATGAAACGTCCTATGTACACGATATTAAATACTCGTTTTATCGGTCACAGTGACCGAAATAAAATAACGATTCGGTCGTGATTTTAAATAATTTTCAAATTTGCATATTTAAAGGAATAAAAAAACAAGTACATATTATGCACGCAGTTTTTATGATTTATCAATCTATTTTAGTAATTAATTAACAATTTCAAAACTGTATAGATTTTAAAAAGATAATTAGACGTGTGAGGTTTTGAGTTTTAGAGGCCCGTCACAGTGGCGTTAGTCATTTATGTATGCTAGGAGCAAATTTTTTTTTCACGTAAAACAAACGAAAATGCTTTTAAAATCGATTGTAGATTTAGCGATAGAAACGTATATAGCACATTTGCCGTTCATCTATATGTGTTTGTCTCCAAACCAAAAACCGATTTTAAACAACAAAACATTTCAAAATCCAAGATAGCTATTATACAAGTATATTATGGCAAAAATTTTTTAATAATGAACCGTTAAGTTTCTACAATTTTTTTCAAATTTACAAAAATTATTATTCATGAAAAATTGGAAAAATGGTCAATTGGGGATATTATTTATGCGGTTTCCATAATTTTAGAGGGGGACTGATTTTCACTTTTTTTTTTAAATGGTCTATTATTTATTATACTATTACCTGTTTTTTAAATTTAAATTTCTTTTTTATGTTTTTTTTTTTTTGTAGACGGAAAAACTGTCGGTAAATATTATAGTAAATATAATTGCATTTTATCGCGTTCAGCCGGATCGTTTTTACATCCTAAAAATACCAACGTAACGCGCGTCGTATTAATTTTGTTCGTGGCGAAAAATGACCACGCAAATTGTTGACCCATCCCAAACGTTGTAAATATATCGTATCCGTCGTGTCAAAAGTGATATATCTGCTATTCTATAGACTGTTTATTCAGACCCTTTTGAGCTACAGACATGTCGATACGCCATTTCGACTGTGATTAACTACCATCGTCGAACGACATAACATTACTATTATTACTTCATGATGTTATACTTCATCTAGACATTTCAGAAGAAATTTAAACGGACGATGAAAATAGTTTCACTTATTATTTGGTTTTTATAGAGCTTTGCGTTTAACCCCTCGGAGTTTTTTTTATTGTTTTATTTTTAGAATACAGTAAAAATTAAAAATCAGTCTTTCAATATTTGTAAATAGGTAGGTCGGCATTGTAACATTGCAAATTTACAATCACAATAATCATAAAAACAAATGTATTAATTATTATTGTTATTTTAATCCAAAACTAAATATTTCAACAATACTTTTATTATTATTATTTCAAATATAAAAACTGGAGACATAGTGAAATCCAAAAACACGTGCACGTATAATATTAATATGTAGGTATAAATGCGTTTAGTACACAATGAATGGCGGGTCAAAAGTTTTAGATTCTGAGCGGAACGAGAAATGCATTGGTTTAATAATGATATTTATTTTTTTTTTCTATGAACAACTTTTTTACCAGAAATTTCGCTGTGATTTTTCAAGTGTAAAACCTTTACTGAAAGAAAATTTTATTTGGGTGGTAAATTAGCAAGATCAATTCTTAATTTTACGAAATGTATTATTTTCAATTTTGTTTTTTGTTGTAATTCAGTTAAATTATATTCTTCGAGACTTGAAATTTGGACAGTAAACTAGTATTTGCTTTTTTTCAACGCAGTAAAATTTTAAAACATTCGAGCAATTTTTGATCTATTTATAGTCATTTAAATTTTGCGAGCTTCGGTAGGTACTCTGTGGATAACCTTGTTAGACCAAACAAAAATGTTTGAAAATTTGACAGGAGGTTCGTTATAATTCGTACTTTGTGGTGAAAATAAAAAAAATTGAGTTTTATGTAGAATTTTTTCGTAAATATGACGGTCTTTCAAATCATAAATAACCAAACTCCACTTAGAATCGTTTTTCGTTAGCAAAGATTAATTGATGCGCACAAATATTCATTAAATCTCCTTTATATTATAGCTTCCTAACTTCTCACCTCCAATAGTGGCCCGTCCATTGTGCGAAGTATGTTTGTTTTTCTTTTTTTTTTTTTAGTATGTTTCTTAAAAAAAAAAATTCTAATTTACTAAATTTTAAGGTTAGCACTCGATCAATTGAAAAAAAAAGCATTTTATGGTCTAAATATGGTCAGTTAAAACTAATTAATTTTGTTTATTTTACTGTCGTGATAGTGGATAAACTGTTAATTTATTTAATACGATGTTTAATATATTAGTATTTTCTGATTTTTATAATTGATGACCAGTCACTGGATAGTTAATAATATTACAATGTTTTGAAATTTGTCCAATATTTCTATCTCTCGGAAATACTAAGTAGTGAAAAATTTAAATGAAATTTAGATCTACGAATTTAATGATTTTTAAATAAAAAAAAATGTTATACAGCTGTACATACTTGACTGGTCAATTGACCTGCAGTCAATTGTTCAAAATGAATATGACTGATCAAAAGTCCAGTCCTACTAAATTTACAATATTTTCAATTTGTTTTTTAAAGTGAACGACCGAGGTAATTAAATTTAATTTATAGTCTAAAATAAAAATTTCAAAAACCACCAGCACTGCAGGGCGTTTTATGCCGCATAGTTCCTACGACTGCAGTATAACTTATAAATCACAATTTCATTTTTTAATTTACCGACTAAAAAGCACCATTACCGCACAGTGGGATGATTTATAATAGACGCAAATCTTATACGAAAATTCGAAAATTCTATGAACCATTTGAACATTTAAGTTTAATTTTTTTGTACGTATACCGAATGATCCATTTATCATATCGAATTAATTGGATTCTAAGATTTTAAGTGAATTTGAATTCTGTTTGTTTTCTTTATAATATTGCCTGTATAGAATCATTTGATCATTGAGTTTAATTTCAACGCTATTTTCGATTTTTTTTTTTTTTTTTAACTCAAATCATTATATGTAAATGATATAAGTATACAAAGCCATAATAGTGTTTTTTTTTTTTTTTTTTTAAGTAAAACCACATTTTAGTAAACTATTATTTTTTTTGCTACTTTATCAGAAATCTAAAATAATTAAGTAGAAAAATAATTTTATCCGGAAGTATGTTGGTTTGTATTTTATAAAATCGAAACCATTCGTAAATAAAACATAACCAATATTATTCCAGACCAATTTGTTTCTTTGTACTTACTTATTTTAATTATTATGTTTCATATTATATACTTGTTTAATTTATAATATATTTATTTTATTTTTTTTAATTATTTTAATAAAACATTTTATTTTATGTTTTATCACTCACTATATACCAAGGCCTCTAAGGAGGTCTTCTGTGTCAAAATGGGCACACAGTAAACTCATTTGGATACCCAATACAGTATGATTTCGTTGACTGTGTTTCCACTAGAAAATAAATGACACAAATTGAATTGGTAGATTTTGTAACAAAATTGTATATTTTATGTAGGAAAAATACTCTCACTCTTGAAGGGAGAGGTACCCGGGTAGTCTGAAAGAAAGGGAAGGTTCGGTCTATCGACTCGTGGAGTGTTTTTTATGGGAGAATGGAGTAAACACGCAATTGATATTCACTAAAAAAATACTCTACGCTTAATAATTTTAGTTATATTAGCGATACTAGTTTAGCAAAAAAACTCATAGAAGCCTCCATACCGCAGCATAATATTTTATGTGAATACTATTATAATATCTTATGGCTAAATTCGATTTAAACGTATACACTTATACCGGTGGATAGGTATATGGTATAGAATTCGGACGAATACCCATCCCGCCGAAATAACCTTTTTACCCGTAAGAAATATATCGATTGCGCTGAACTTGTTCACATATTGATTCCGCCGACTGTTTTTAAATTAATACTCGGTACACACCGTAGATACAGTAGTAAATCCGTGCCATCTACAAATATTTTGCCATGTGAGCAAAGCAATTTTAAACTCGAAGTTGTGGCGTTGAATATTATTATCATACACCGAGAAAAAATCGAGTAGAAAATCTTCGTTTTTAACAGATAATATTCGTTGATAAAGCTGGATGTGAATCGACGTGACCGGCGTACATATTGATGTGTATTTTATAAATCGGCACTGGTAAATAATTTAAATTGTTGTTTTATTACGAGTTGACCGAAAGTCACAGTTATAGTGTTTAATAATGTATGGAAAAAAAAAAAAAATGGAATCAATGTAAATGTTATGTATACGGCAATAAGATTATAACACTCACAGATAATCTACACAAATTGTATACGCATTTTTTTTTAAAATCATTATTATTACTGATCTAATATTTATTGTATCCGTAAGATTAACTGTCGGTGACATAAAAAATATGCTCGGCAGAATCGGCGTGTTATGTGAACAAGTTTGGCAGAAGTGATATTAAAACGGCGGAGCCGGTAAAACCCCTGGAATCCGCCTAGGAACTCGGCAGAAATTCCGGGACCTTTGACTGCCGGTCGACGGGTTTACATATACTTACGCGTTTGTCTGTCTCAAAATTATATTTACCGCAGTCTCCCGTGAACCGTTAAACCTCCGCGTGCGCATTTATTATATTATGTTCGCGAGACGAAAGCGTTTGAGTTTCTTTGAGTACATCTGCGATTTAAAGCCCTCCCTCCCCCGTAGCGAATTGATAATACAAACGCCCGTGGAAATCATTAACTTTGGTCGTTGTCGTCGTACACGAACGGCGACGCTTACGGACAAAGGCAAAGGCCGATTCGCCGATGTCGCCCTAACAATACAACGCGTGTGGTGTACTTGAAGTGTCATTTAGCGGGGTACGCGTGTATAATTATTGTTGTGGACCGGCGAATGACGTATAACGGAATACCGGGGCGCTCGATTGGTGGTGTGCGATAATTCGTGCATGCATAATAATGTAAATTATAATTATTAGGTATCCGTACGCGAAATAGGTTAGTCGGGCTGGGTTAACGGCAGAGGGTCACGATCACGAAAAATAACAATAATCATAATGGTCGTTCAAATGAACGCGTAATTCAGCCAGAGTTTTGACGGACTATCGATAATATTATAACGCAATATTACAGGACGCTCAATATTTAATTGTCCAAAATATATGTTGATGTCCAGTAAAAAAAAAAAAAAAAATGCTCAATTATTTATACGTCCGATGCGCGTATAGTCAACAATTTTTTCTAAAATATCCGAAAACATTGAATTTTCAAAAAATCAGAAATGTATAATTTCGGTAGTAAGTTTAAAACGATATGACATTTGTTTAAAAGTTGTTTGGATTTATTATCATATTGTTTTCTCGTTTCGAATCGGATGATAATTTTGAGTGTTTTTTTTTTTTTTTTTAGTTAAAATCGATGTATTATGTTTCGCGGAATTTGTTTAAAAAAAAAAAAAACTGTAATATTACGCCAGAAGAAAACAATATTTTCGACATTAATTTTTTAGCAATATTTGTATAACACTTGTTTTGCATTAGGCACCACCTATAATATAATATCATAATATAGGACAATATCACCGGTAAAAATATCATTATTTTTTTTTATTTACACTTTTAATACTTGTTGTTGTGATATGGTATTTTGAAAAATGCATTGTACTCTGTATTTATTTTTATACCGGGTGTCTCTAAAAATCATTAAAAAAATAAGATAATTGTTGTTTTTACTCCTAAAAAGCATCGCCGAGTCGCACATTTTGACACGTATACGGAATTTACTCGAAACAATTTCCGGTCGGGGCTTTAAATTGATCCAACGGCAATTAATTATTACTTACGATTCCATAGCTATGATCTGTTGTTTTTGGTGTTGATAATGATACATTTGGGCCGACTGTGCCAAGCGTCTGTCGCCGGTCGGTGATAAATCTTTATTGGGCCCGGTAATTCCGTACGCCGGATAATCTATGTCCGCAGCCGCTTTGTTATTCTTTTGCATTCTAAAAACACAAATATACACCAAATACGAATAGTAATTATTTAACGGTGTATACATTTTGAGGGGGGGGGGGCGTATTTTGAATTTGTTTAAAAATTGTTTTTCTATCGAAACTCACCTGAAACATGCTATGGACGAAATGATAAAGACGACTAGTACGGCTAGACCGAAACCGGCAGCTTTGGCTGAAACAATAAAAAAAGCTGTGAGATAATAACATAATGGATACTAATAAATTTATCCAACCTAACCTTACTTATCCTGGCTTTAAGAGGACATACTGCATCCCGTAAATGTATTTAAGAGGTCTTTTATAGGCAATTTTCTCGAAACTTTCGGGAAAATGAAATTTCATCACCAAATAGATATTCAAATACACTTACAACCAGCCCCGTGTTATTATCACCAGTATTTATTATATTTATATCGTGAAATCAACAAAAATCATTCTGCGTGGTCATACATTACTCGGACTAGACTTATATAAAAAAAAACAAATTTTTACCACAAAACAAAGAGAACTTGCACTGCGCAACTATCACAACTTTTTTTTATACATTTTTAATGTCAAAAAAAAATAAAACCAACGTTGCACAATACAAGTTCTCTTTCTCTACGGTGAAAATTGTTTACTTCTCAATTAAGTACATAGTCCGGGTAGTGTTTCCTGCGCAAAAACTTTTTTTTATAATAAAATTGCAGATGGCAGCATGCCATCTATTGTTCTCTTAAGCGTTAGCACTGGGAATAATACTCGACAAACGTATAAAACGCCCGGGCGAATGGGTCTGTTTTTCTTTCTAATATTTTCAACCGCTCGGCGGAACATAAAACCTATAGTATAAGCCCGGCAGCATAAATATTTGAAAGTCATTTAAAGTCATCGATTTTAAATTACGGTCGCTATACAATAGGACTTGAGAGTATAACCCGTGGTGTCGAATTAATCTCTTAGTGTGTACATATACGTACAATACGTATATATATATATATACACGTATTTTATAATAACGACGCGATGGCATTTATTTTAACTTTACTCTGGAGAGATTGTACACGAAAACCGTCGTGGTCATCGAAATACGACATCGATACGCGTTTATTTTGCGTTTTAGGATAGCGATTTAAAATATCTAGATAAGAAATAATCAAACACTTTTTAATTAAAAAATAATATAATTTTGTTAAAATCATAAAACCTATCATACTAACTATGATACTAACCTATCATAAAACTATAATTGTTAAGTGTTGTCAAAAGCGTATCGAACTCGGTACCTGCACGTAAAGTAATGACTAATTTATTTATTAATCCATATTAGTATAAATAAAACATTTTGTTCATTATTTCTAATTAAAATGTAAATTCCAATTCAAAAAGATTTGTCTTGAAGATTCAATTATTTATCTTAGATAATGGCTCAACTAACTTATTTCTCACTTATCTGGACAAGATAAAAGATAAAAATGTACTTATCTAGTTGAAGCACAACACGATGAGTATGATTTGCAATAGAAAACACGGGCGAATTTCATTGGATTTTAGGTTTTATTTCTACATTATTATTGTTCGTCGTTTAAAAAACCAAACGGAAATGAGTAATTTACCTCAATTTATCTCAATGTACTATGTCATTAATTAATTTTTCAAGCGTTTATACGTTACTAAGTAAAAATTGTTAAAACTCAAAGTTAAAATATTTTGGAATTCATACCACGTAGCCTAGAAAATGTTATAGTGCAAGAAATCAGTAACAATTTTAGGTTTCTATAGTCGCATTTTCTTACTGAATTATGACAAAAGATAAAAATAAAAATCGATTTTGGCAAAACCTGGCGGCGCGTAACGTTGCGTATAAATTTATTCCCGTTTTTCTGACGTTTATTTTCTTCGTTATATTGTAAGTATAAAAAAAAAAAAAACCAACGACCTACTGAACTATGTTCTAAAATTCTAACAGAAAGCTCTTACGCAATTTTTTTTCACTCTACCGCTTGAGGAAACAAAAAAAAACGAAACAAATTTTGCGATTAAAAAGAAATACGTGGTTTTAGGGATTAGGTGTATATTTTAGTCGATTTAGATTTAAAATTAGAGAAAACTGTAGAAATTACCTTTGACGGATTTAAATTTTTAAAACATATTGTTCTTTGTTCAGTTCTTTACTTGGGAATAAAAACTTAATTTCCTATTAAACTATCTCAAAATTATACAATTATTTTGCCCTTTAATTTGAAAATGAAAATTAAAGGTTTTTCAAAAATGATCTGATACTACTGATGAGTGATGGGTGTACCACTGTTGTAATTGGAATGTTATGAAGGTAGGATACATGAAGTTATTTAATTTACATATGTACGTAACGATTAACCATTGCTAATCAAATACGATTCTGAGCAAAGTTCGGCTAAATATTTTTGAAATGCCATGATTTTAATAAGATTTTCTTTGCTTAATATTTTTTTATAATTGAAATCCGGCAAATACAATTCCTGCGTACGGTTTTGTCTGGCTTTTGGTAAAACGTCATATTCGCCCGCGAAAACTGCCATGCAACTACCCCTTAATTGACTAAAACGCATGACGAGAAATAGATTAATGGCAGAGTCTTATGGTACCATTAAAGGCGATCGATTAAAACGTGAACAAAATTTTAAATTCTACGAATTCGGAGGAAATTTGAAAAACCGTCACTACAATCATTTTAATTGAAAATGGGAATAACGGGTGTACCTACGTTTTTCCTTTCCGCTGAAATTGCGACGTATTTACCGTGGCTGATTTTAACTAGACATTAATTGTATACCTATACGCGGCTATAATAATGATTATGACTCAAGGACCGAGAAACTGCTCGTTTACGTCTAGGTGTATAATGATAATAATCGTGCAGCGGACTTACGAACGGGGACGTAGAGTGATTAAACGACGAAAATACGATCGCGCGTCCGGGGGAGTAATCTGTCAAACTTTATCGTCGTCGAACCGGGTCCGTGTGAATACAATAATAATTAATAATTGATATATTGTGTGTGTGTGTGTGTGTGTGCATTGTATAATACACTAATGTGTTTCCTCCGTGTAATTTATTGCTCGCGGCCTAAATGGCTATGAATACGCCAATCTATATACACTGCCGGGACATTTATGAAGACTGATCGAAAAACCAAATATTAAAAAAAAAAAACGCTCACACATTTCCGCCGGAATCCTGTACAGATTTGCGATATGAACCGTAATCAATTTCCCGGGTTAGCGTTGTATAGGCGCTCTATATCAGCTAAACATTGTCTATGTTCTGTACTCGTAGTTTCGCAATTTCCAATAGTATTCGCGTTTTCAACAGCGTGGCGTTCGAATTTTGGCACGTCAACTCGCCAATAATTATTATTTATTAATAATGTTACCTATTCATAACGGACGCGCGTGGGCGCATCAGCGTTTCACAAAACCGCCGCGGTTTGTACGCTATAAATTAATAATAATGAATATTTTATAATATTGCATTTTATCGTGAAACAAAATTATAAATAGATTTTAATTTGACATTTTTGTACTTAAATTGACGTTTCGAAAATATCTATGCTCGCATGAAAATATACTATACTTAACCTATATGCTATATAGTCTATATAATAATAAATGGAACCGCAACCGAATCTGTATAATTTAATTTTAGATTCTGAGCGGATCGACGGCGCATTGGTTGTACAACGATGATTATTATTTTTTTTTTTTTTTTATTTTATGTCAACAACACGGGAAATATGGCTGGGGTGGTACCTTGGGGAAGCCGTTTTTAGATTTTCTCAGGAATTTTCCCAATGAATGGGATGAAACTAAGGGAAAAGGAAAATACGTACGAAATGTGTTGGTAAAATATTACGGCCTTTATTTTCCCCCGTGATCAATTTTTCCCACCAGCAATTTTACTCCAATTTTCAATTATAACACTTTTTTTGAAAGGAAAGTGGTACTTTGAGAAAGTCGTTTTATGATTTTACCAATTGTTTTCGTAACAAATGTGGAAAACCTGAAAAAACCGTAGGAAAAACGGGAAAATGTGTACAATATCAAACAAATATTATTAAAGAAAATATATAATGCATGTTATGTAATTATTTTACCATAATATGACATATTACATATTGAAATTATATTAAATTAAACAATATATTTTATTAAAAAATGAAAAACAATAAAAATTAAATAAGAATCTCAAACTTTTTAATTTAAAATATTTATTATATATATGCGCTGAAAAGTGAAAATGCTGTGTAGAGTCTGTTACTGATTTTTATTATTTGTAAATGAAGTTTTTTTTTCCGTAATAAAGATTATTATTGTTATTATTATACTGGTGACAACGCAACACTGTTAACCAAACTCCACTCAGAATCGTTTTTCGTTAGCAATGGTTAACCGTTGCGAACAGATATACATTAAATTTCCCCTCCGCCTACCCAATTTCTCACCTACAACAGTGGCCCGTTCATCGTGCAAAGTTTGTCCGTATATTTTTTTCTGTGTTGGTAACACGAATGAAATGATAAGGAAAACACATAAAATTAAACAATTCTAATTTAGTTCCGGGTTACACGTCAACAAAATATACTAAACAAAAAGTATATATTTTTTAAAAATTGAATTTAAATCGTGAATAGTTTAAAATGTAAATTGACAAACCAAATCAAATGTAAAGTATTATGTAAATTAACTATTAAGTAGGTAACTAACTTAGATTATTGGAGATGAATGGAAAATCAAATTGAACTGATCAAATGTTTCACGTAGGTAGATAGTAACGTTAATTTCTTGGAAATTAATTGGAATATCAGTTATCAGAACATAGAAAGTTTAACAAAATGAGAAAATTTCCAAACAGTGTAACACTATATTTGTCTATATTGACATGATAATAATAATTTAATAGCACAATATTACATATTATTGCATATGTCTATAATATTATATAGGTTTATTATAAAAATAGGCCACGAACATAATGTAATAATAGTCTATAATGTGTCGTGGACCGTGGTTACCGTGTATTAACAATTACCATAGACCATTGACACATAAAAACAACTAGAATATAGCCGACTACTTAGATCACATACATATCAGTATATGATCTGAGGCCGACGATAATTTTTTATCGAATAATATAACAAGAAAAATGTTTTTATCAAAAAATTGAGAATACTCAATATTTTATAGAACATTTGGATTTTTATTGAAGAATTTTTCTTGTGATAAATTTATTTTTTAACCCCAATTAAACATAAGTAGATACACGTATATTTAAAACTATCATGTCTTTAAGTAGAACGGTATATCTTTCAAATAGATTTAATCAAAAATGATATTCTGCGATACAGAGTTTTGTGAAGTTCTTAATTTTATTACAAGTTTATGTCAGAAATCCTGAATTAGGAACAAACACACGGTCGGGTAACGAAACCCCGCTTTGTCTTCAAGCCTTATATATTAATATATTATGTTTAATTACTCCTACGATCCTATTATAATATCGTTTAGCTTATAAACAAATTCTACATATTCAGAATAATATTATTCTTATGTGGATACGATAATTATTAGAAAATATAGTTTGTTATCACGAAGTGTTAATAAAATGTTTAAGGTCAAATACTCTAATCGCATTTCGGTTAAAAAAAAAAAAAGTGATGGCCGTTCTGCACTCACATAGGTATTGGTCGAGTTGCACGTGGATCAAAAAAGGTTTTTGACAAAAATTTAATGTAAAGATAATTTAAAAGTTTTAAAAATACTAATTTCCCTTCGCACTTGGTATTAGTGGATAGTTAATAATAAATAGTAATTAATCAGTGAATATACAATTAAAAAGCGTTTTATAAGCTTGTCCAATCATCTCAGAGTTCAAACGTTGCATATTTTTAATTCAGTCATAACCTTTTTTGAACCCAAATGCAAATTCGACCATTTTTATTTAGGGGAAAAGCGAAATAATTCTACTATTCCCGATTAAACATACGTTATTTAATTGTCTAATTCGCAAGCCTGCCTACGTATATCCGTAGGTATCTACAAATATTTACTTAATTAAATCCTTAAAAAAACTAACTATGGAATGGTCATAACATTATCATAGCCGTAGTACGTACTATTTATGTTTGTTTTTTCTTACGTTCTTATCGCATTCCCTATTTTCCCTCTTTCTACTACGGTCTAAAATAATAACTATTCGTGTAACGAATTAAATTGTGTTGTCATATACGTACCGTAGAAATAGTAATCATCTTGACTGAACTTTGTATGCGTGGAAAACGGCATGTGCACGAAAGTGGTCTGCGGTATATCCACCGACACCTCACTGCTGCTTGAATTCTCCGTGGTTACCTGTTGCGCAACGAACCCTACGTCTGATGCATAGCCGAAATTATTTTGTACTTCGCTGCTCTTAGACCGCTCTTTTTTATGATATCTTCCCCCCGCTTCCTCCGGGACCAACAAATTACCAGTAAAATCTTTTTCCAGAAACAAAATAAAACAACAAAATCGTCAGTACATTACCTACGAAATGATAAAAAGTATCTATGTTATCCATTTACCGTTCAGTTTTACAATTATTATTTAAAATCACACAAACAATAGGTAACCGCATGCAATTTAACATTAATTTATTTTGTTGCTAATAACTAACTAGTACTAATACAATCACCGATTACAAATACAGATGTACTTAAATTATAATAACGCACTAATATGGAATATATTTATGTACAGGTTGTTTCAGATTTATCCGTAAAAACTTTGTGAATTATGATGGTGTTAGTGAGTGCAATCGAAAGCCTATTGGAATTGAAATTAAACCGTAGGTAGCGCTGATGTCGTTTATTGTAGGGGGGCACCCTTATGCTTATTTAAATCGTTTGTCATAGTTTATTGTTTAAAATGTTCATTCGTGCGTCGTCGTTGGAAAATAGTGCACTACAATACAATTTATACGGTCCGGTTATCACGGAGCCCCCTTACTTTGGTAAAATAAACTGCCACCAGAGAGCAGACTCTCCGAGTTCGATTCTAAGTATTGCAAATGCGGGACTTTAACCTTACGACAATCATCTCGTTTAATATTGAATTTTAATACGGAACCAAAATATGAAGAACGTTGAGATATTTGTCGTCTTTGGACACCTCAACTATTTTTTATAAGTCATTAGATTTTTTTTTTTTTTTTCAGATTTATTGTTGACGCCGCGCCGATGCCGCATTACGGATAAATCAGATACACCCTGCAGTATATAATAGTTATATTTACAAAATGCGTCGACTGTAAATCTAAACCATGCGTTTCTAAATTCTAATATGTATACTTTTGTTAATTTTTTTTTTTTTTTCTAAACGTCAAATCTCAATATTGACTTTGTAGTGGTCAAATCTCAATATTGACTTTGTAGTGTACTCGTGGGTTGTCGCCGGCATGCACTACGACCAGAAAAAACCAGAAAAAAAAATAAAAAAAAAATAGAACGACTCGAAAGCGAAGAACAACCACAACTATACCATCACCACAGCCGCGGCCGCTACCTGTTTGATAGTATCGACGGTCGTTGGGCAACACGGCAAAAGGTACATCCCGATTGCCCGTGTTTACGGTAGGCATGTTCGACCGCATGTCGTACGTGAACGACAACTGATTTTTCTCGTTGGCTGTTATCCGTTTCCGGGGGACTTGCGGCGGGATGTACTCGTCGACGTCCCGGCGATTGTTTTGCATCCTATAGCTTTGGTCTTTGATAATATTCGCCAGTTCGCCGATAATATACTCTTTTTCATCTATACAGGTACACATACGCACACAAAAAAAACACCCGATATATATACAACAGTATGACGATGACACGATGAACGGATTGTCGTCGCGCGTTACATTATCATCGGTATGTTATCATTATCCTATCACGTTGTCCGGATGTACAATATAATATTATTATTATCATTATCATTGTACGCGGACGCAACAGACTGACATTTTTTTTTTTTTTCAGAACCACCGGCGACGGTTATGTTGTTACGGCGTTTCCCAACGCACAGAGGTACCCGACAATAGTAACAGCTCCGACGCCGCGTCGTTTTTTTTTTTTTTTTTTTTTTTTTTTTATCAATATTATTCATTTTAATAAACCCGCGAATCGCTGCAATGTAGGTACATCGTAATTAAACCTTGCCAATTTTTTCCGCTAAATTTTGCAATGTTTGGCTTATACTATTGATTTGTCGTGTGTACACAGCTGCGGTAGTCGGAAATATACGCGATCCGATGACAACAATGTGCGCGGTTTTCGTAATCACGAATATAAATTGCTCGCCGTGCTATAATCGTATACACTACCTATACTATAGATACTCATCGACAATTATACAAATCATTATCATTCATCTTCTTTTTTTTTTTTTTATACTTTCTGAGCATGTACAAACGATAATATTATAATTATTCGAACAAAATAATATATTGCCTACTTAAAATATTATTACCTTATATTTGATTATGAAGATCTTTATTTTTTCTCTATGGGTATAGGTACGCGCCAATACTGATTATTAATGAATAACAACAACTACTTTATTTTCAAATAAATACTTGTACTTACTTAACACAAACATTATATCTTAGTTTGAAATAGATCAATTTAAGGGTCTTGCGCGTTTTTTTTTCAGATTATTAACATTTACGATCTTAATTTTTATATTGATAGGGGCCTGCACAAAACCAATTTTTTTTTTTTTACTCAAACAGTTTTTACTAGAAAAACTCCTATGGCTCGCAGTACAGAATGATCCAATTCAGAACATTTTTTTTCTGTTAGAGAGAGGAAGATTGCTTATAGAGACGTATTGGACTTGGATTTTCGGTTATGTAAACTACACAAAGAAAAAACGAATTAAAAAACAATGGTAAAAATTGATCATACTCAAACTCTTAGTTTAGAAATATATTTTTCGAAATCCAATTTCAATGCACCTAGAGAGAAATCTTCCTCTTTTTGATAAATAAATCAGTTCACTGTACGAGGCACGAGATATTATGCTGTAAAATATGTTTTCGAACAAAAAAAAAACAGGTTACTAAACCGAAAGAATAGCACCACTGCTGCGTACTAAATTTATAAAGACCATACAGGATGATTTTTTACGAACCAGCAATTTTTTCGAAGGATTTTAAGTGAATATAGATTCTGTTTATTTTTTAAAAGTTATTATGGAATCGTTGAGTTTTTATTTTGATACTAGTTTCAATATTTTACCCCTACTCAATATGTCTAATTCTATATGAATGTTGTATTTTTGGCAATATTAAATCGTGTGTACAACAACAGTTGCGATATTTCTTCACTAAATAAAAAATAATTGATATAACAAAATATATAATTTGCATAAATATAAGTAATTTGAATTTATGAAGTCTATATCGTTTAAAAATTTACATACACTAATACAAAAACATTTTTATGAGACGTTTCAGCTAATGATCTCACCATGCCGTCTCCCGGGGGACGCGATTATTAAGCTACAGTACCATTTAATTATAATCCGGGACTCAATTTACCACATCACAAGATTTTGTGTATATAGGCGGGACCCGTTTGACCTAAAACTGGAAGTGATGGGACTGAATTTACCAAATCCGCGTTCGCGTGTAATATTTTTTTGCGAAATCTAATACGTTATATTATTATATCGAGCGTCGCCGGATATGATTTGACATACTGTAGCGATAATTTTATGTGTTATACATAATAAAGCCGTGAGCGTTTATAATTACCTCGATAAAACGTTTTGCGTTTAATTTATTAAACTTTTAAACTGGGCAGTTACCGTTAAGTTCGTGAAACTATTATTATTATTATTATTATTATTATTATTATTATTATTATTATTATTACTAACAGTACATAAACGCGTCCTTAATATACCTGCTGTAATTTTGCGACGATATGCACTTATGTATTTATGAGTTATGAACTTACTGCTAAGACCGTTTTAGTATATTATTATACGCGTGCAGCGAAAACACACTCGCTGTGAATTTATTATGCAATGTCGGTCAGTTCGTAAAATGCATACAATCGAGATTTATTATGCTCGATAACTAATCGCTGGGCACGTTATAAAAACGGGTACCCTCGCAAGTGGACCTATGGACTTTAATAAATAGAAACGTTTATGTCACTCATTTATCACAAATACATTGGACGTTTTCCATCGTTTGAATAATAATATTATTGAAAAACAAGTAACGTTGAGTTCCCGATAATGGACACGGATCATTAGTTTTTAAATTTTGTTTTTTTTATTTTTTTATTTTTTTTTATTTTTTGACAGTTGATGTTCAAAATAAGTATAAATCATTTTCATATAGCTGGACCGATTTTCAGACAATTTATATTTTCCGACAATGATGGTACCGCGTTATTCTTTCTTGGCGTATATCAATTTCGAATCTTAAACTCAACAATAAATTAGCTCCAAAAATCGATTTGCAAAGGGCCAGCTGGGATGGTCGTTGAGTAAGGAAAAATCGGAAAATTACGGTTTTCGTGGGTTTTACTCGTAGTACATCATGCATACATTTGTAGGACTTTTAAAAATGAAAACTTTAATGTTGATTAAAAATATCATAAAGTTTGAAATATTTAATGGTCGAATATTTGACGAGGTTTATCATAATTTGTATATACCAAGTAGTAGCAGTATTGAACTACGTACAAATGACATACCATAACATAACAAATAAATTATTTTACATTAATGCACTAATTTTTTATTAGTAAACAAAATATTAGTAATAATAATTTTTCGTTTTAAATAAAAATAAACAATTTTGTTTAAGTTATTTCTTTTTTAAATTAAAATGATTTGTTTTAAATTTTTACTTGAAAAAAAAAAACAAGTATAGATATTCAAAATTAATTTTTAAAATTTAATATAAAATATATAAGGAATACACATAAAATTGCTAAATAAAGATAAATGAGATAACCAATTATCTGTTAAAATTTTGTTTAAATTATATTGTATACTAGCTGACTCGGCAATGCTTTTGGTTTTACTATTGCTAGATAATAGTATAAATAATAATATAATATTATTATAATTGTTTAATAATAATAATAGTTTTCTTGTCCTTGATATTCAAATTATTATCCGTATCATCAAGGTAATCCTTTTATAAACAAAAATATATAAATAAACAATTTGTACTAAAAATATCTAACAATCCCTATTGTGCCCCCTTAGGTGTTTAATTTTCAAAAATCTTTTCTTAGCGGAGGTCTACGTCATAAAGCAATCTGTCTGCCAAATTTCAGCCCGTTCCGGACAGTAATTTATGCTCTACGTTGATAAATCAGTCAGTCAATAAGAACATATTATTTTATACATGAAGAAGGGTACAGGGAGAAAACCAGAAAAGTCACTTTCTTTTTCCAACTGAGAAAAACATGTATTTAATTTAAAAACTTAACGTTTTTTTTTCATAGATTAAAAAGTTCGCATTAAGTTTAATGTTAAACTTTGAAATGTAGTAACCACAACATAATGATGTCATATTATATTATTAACCAAGGCTATAGCCCGATAGTCGTGTACTAACCCAACACTTACTTGGTTGTAAATTGACTATCTGTCTTTTTTTCCCCGTATGTCTAAACTTCTGGCATTTATTACTTTCGACAAAATTGGTTTTTTCTCCATTTCGATCGCATAAAAAATATGGCACGTCAACACTAATTATCTGATATCGATATCGTCATTTTGGAAAAAAAGTGACTTTTCTGGTTTCTTCCATGTACCCTCCATATACTTATAGAAGATATAGCTGTCCCGTCGGCATGTAAACATATACCACACATTATTAAAGATCTATAGTAAACAATGAGCCCTGATTGGTTGTATTTCAATTGATAACATGCCAACAGTTTCATGATAATGATAATGGCTTAAAATCATAAAATAAAAAGTAATTGTAATCATAAAAAAATTGCATAGAAGACAAAACTACAGTCAAAACAGAAAAGCCAAATAAAAAAAAATAACAATTTTTTTTACTATACACTGAATAACATAGTTAAAACAATACACTTTATTATTATTTTCTCCTAAAGGCAGTATACTAATTAATAAACGTTAACTACTTCTAGTAACATTTACTGATATTGCAATTGTAATTAGCTGTGCATTAATCTTAACACTATTTCTTTTTCACGGTTCACATCAGTTGAGTAGTAATTTTATTGGCATACAATATTTACAAATTTCAATTTAATTTTTCGTTCATAATAGACCAGCATGGAAATAAAAAATCAAAATTTTGTATTGATTAAAAATTACACGAATTCAATATGACTCAAAAAAAATACTTGAGTTAACAGTTAAAACCGCATACTTGTACAGTTTCCTATATGTCTACCATCAACGAGAATTTCAAAGTCTCCGATGATTATTTGGCAAATTTGATTAAAAAAAAAAAATTAAAAAAGAGATGATACTAGGGATGGGAGCGGTCATTGTTGTAGGTGAGAAATTGGGAAGGTAGGATACATAAGGTTATTTTATTTATATCTGTAAGCAACGGTAAACCATTGCTTGACGAAAGACGATTCCGAGCGCAGTTCGGTAATACATAATTTGAAGTGCCGTATTTTTTTTTAATATTTTCGATGAAATTTAATTTTAAAACGTTTAATAAAAAAAAGAAAGTCGTCCGATGATTTTGGAAATTTTACCACGTCAAGTTAAGTCCAATATAAGCATTATTACCAAGTGTCAAGTCTCTACGTGTATTTATAACCGAATTACATACAGCAAAAAAACTCCCAAAAATTAAAATTTCTTGAAAGCTCAAAAGTGGCTCAACATTTTTTACAATGATACCGTAAGAAATTAAATCCAAAAAGCAACAAAAAAAGTATCTTGTAATTTTTATATTAAATCATTTTTTCTGGTAGAAGACGTCGTCCATGTTTTTATAAAATAATGAAATCGTGCTTTTGTACGTTTTCTACGTTTTACCCACTTAAGTGTTTTTATTAAAAAAAATTGTACCGAAAATCAAAAAAATGACATGTTTAAAGTACAATCTAAACAACTTGAGCTTTCAGAAAAGTTGTATACGTCAAAATCGTAGCAAGTTTACTAGGAAAAAACGTGTCCAAAGACTAGAAGATGAAGAAGAAAAAAGAAATAAACAGCATTATAAAACCAATAGCTCCGTCGCTACGTTCGAAATATAAAACAAACCAAAGCTATATTAGAATAAGATAATGATAAAATCATAAAACGAACATGTTTTATGATTTAAACGTCGGAGGAATCATGAAAGCTCAAGCGGACTGCGATAATATTTCAAACCGGGAATATTTTTCAGGTTGTTCATTATTTATGTCTAACTATATTTGAAATTCTCTACTTTTTTGTTACTTTTTTATAGACAGAAATTGTTTGGCTTCTCAAAAGTGATCGAAAAATCGATACGTAGTTCAAGATATGTTGTGTTCATGTCCTAGTTATTTGTATAATTAAATTTGTCTTTAGGTAAGTACCTATTGATTTTCAGTCAGGCCAATAATGGACATACATTTTAGACCATGCCATTGGGATTCTTCCCGGCGTGCCATAAGTCCCGTCCGGTCCTGGATCTTATCGAGTTCACATATTTGGAAATAAATATATACATTAAATTCAAAATTATTATTCCATCATAATAGTTTATTATCGTGTTTGCGCGTTCTTTTGTCGTGCGTACCTATTTCGTTTATAAAACACCTGCCATAGCGCACTCATTTCCATAAGTAAAACACCGGTGGGTAACAGAAGTGAACTTCGCATACACACTATATATATATGTATATGTTATGTCGCCTACATTTCAATTGCGAACATTATTATTAGTTAGATATTGTTTACTACTGCATGTCACACCTTGTGCGTAGTGTTGTAGGTATAATAATAAACGCGAAAAATTCACAACAATTATTATAGTAAGTACTTAATGTAGTTAAAGATTTTTTACGACTACGCCTACCTACTGTTTTTATTACAAATTTAATTTCACGTTGTATGGCTCGTTATTACCCTACTGTGTCTAAACAATAATTATTCTGAATTTTTTGAAATTTCACTCAATCTGTCCAATCTTGTGGTTTTAGAAATAGGGCCCTGAAGCATTTTGTTTTAAAAGGCACTATAGAGGCACCATTGAAAAATACAAAAGCCATGGAAATCAATGCGATGATCAGTCAAAATTCGGTGCCATCGGTCAATAATATTTGTAAATAAAACAATAGATTTCGTGTCAACCTTTATATTATGCTATATTCAGCGGAATTTCAGATTTCAGTATTTATGTATATTTAATACTAGTTCACAAAAAATTATTAATAATTAGAGTTCGGGACTTATTGTACGTAAAATCGAAAAAAAAAAACACTTATAAACGTCTATAAAATGTCTACCAGAAATATAGCTCCGATTTTCAAGTGTAGCACCTTTTCTGAAAGAAAATATTATCAGGTCGGTATTATATGAAAGTCAATTTTCAAAGCGGTTTTCATGTTAATTGAGAAAACCGAGAAAGTTGGTAGAAAAACGGGAAAATTTACGAAAAAAATACATTTATTATTTTCAATTTTTTTTTTTTGTAATTTAGTAAAAAATATTTGTGAAGATTTAAAATTTGGACAAATATGGTTATTGTATTTGCCTTTTCTAGACGTGGTAAAATTTTCAAAACATTTTAACCATTTTTGAGCAATTTATAGACGTTTTATTTTTGTTTGGTAGGTTCTCTGTAAATAAAATTGATAGACCTAACAGAAAAGCTTAGAAATTCAAGAGGATGTTCATTATAAATCATATTTTGAAGTTGACAAAAAAAAAAAAATTGAATGGAATGGAGAATTTTTTTTATAAGATTTTTAATACCACATTTCGACGAATATTGTAAATATTAAAATTACAAAAAATGTGTAACCGAACTCCAATCAGAGTAGTTTTTAATCGTTTAATAAATAGTTTCGTACAGATATAATTATATAATTTCTCTCTATATCCTACCTTCTCAACTTCTCACCTACAACAGTGGCCCACTCATCATACAAAGTAGGTCCGTCGCTTTGTTCTTATGTCCGTATATATAACCGAATATTTTTTAAATATTAAATTATTTGTATATACAGATTACAGATTCGGGGGGGTAATAATTATTGAAGTAACTAATGGTTAAAAAATGGGAGCAATCTGTGCGTATATTAAATTATTCAGTTAGGAATTAACGTTTAAGTATCGAACAAAGACGACAAAGTTGGTATTGAATTTTAGTCATGGCAGTAGAAAGTTTAAGTTCCAAATTACTTAGTTTGTATTCTATAAGATAAAGAAAAGTTTAGACTTTAGCGAAGTAGATATTTAAAAAAAAAAAAAAAAATCAAAATCATTGTTTTATTAAAAATCTTTAGTTATATAATAAAACTTTTTTTTTAAATGGAAACTACCTTTATTTTAGATTCTGTTCGGAGAAAGGAATGTATTGGTTTTACAATGAATTATTTTTTTTTATTTTATCTGTGCTTAACTTTTCTATCAGAAATCTTGCTCCGATATTCAAGTGTAGTACATTTTCTGAAATCAAATTTTATTTGGATGGGTGATACTATTGGAAGGTTATATTTTGATTTTCCAATCGGTTTTCATAATAATTTGGAAAAACCGGGAAAATTTACATACATGCATAAAAGAAATTTCACTCTGAATAGTTTTTCGTTAGTAATGGTTTATCGTTACATACAGATATAAATTGAATTCCCTACATCAGCCTACATCTCACCTACAACAGTGGCCTACTCATTATGCGAAGTATATCCGTCTTTTTAAACAACTCTATTGATGGAAACAGAAACGATAAAACAATTATTTCAAACTGTATAAATTTAACAACATTGGTATAATTACCTATTTAAAACTATTATCAGATGCATACTTATCAAAATATTTGTACACACGGTGTTATGGAAATTAAGTGCAAGATATTAGGAATATTATATTCCTTAACTTTTATTTGTATACTTTTTAGATAATTGTATACAATTTTAATATTCCTATTTCTCTCTCAGTTTTTTTAAATTTGTTTTATTACTTATCAGTATAGTCAAGAATTAAAATCGTAAATAAATATTAAACTTCTTATGCAATACATTTAATTATAGTGACTAAAGTTATGAATTATGGTTACAAACAAATCTACACCTCTCAATAATCTGTCGGTTAATTCATAAGCATATTTTTTTTTATACAATTTTAGTCTAGTTAGTTTCATAAGAGGTACCTAGGTATTTGTCATGGTTTACATTTATTACAATTTAGGCTGTATATTTTAAGGGTTTCATTTTTTTTTTTTTTTTTTTTTAAACTTTCTAAACTTGATATTTTATGAATTAAATGCGAAAAAAATTTGGAGATTTCTGATCTTATCTTAATGCTCTAAATTCTAAATTTGAATAATCTTTAATTAATCTAAATAAGGAATAATACTCATGTTTGTTGTTATTATTCATGTTATTATCATATACCCTAAAAATTATACAAAAATAATATTTAATATTTGTAAAAGTAAATACACGGTTATTGTATATAATTACCATTATTTCTGTACAAAAACATCGACTTAATGTAACTACTTAACTAATAGTAACTAACTCAACTTCACTAATAGTACCTTTTATACATGTATACACAACACCGCTCCTATCGGCACTATAATGATACAGAGTTGTACATAAATTATTATAGAAATACTATGTTAGAGATGACCGATATGAGCACGGAAAAAAGAGACCTCCTTGTAGACAAATACACAAATTTCGGTTTGACAGTTTTAGGTACCATTCTGTTTAGTTGTGTAAAACATCTGTTTGAAATTTTGGTTTTATGCGTGTCAGTTTTTATTTTCATTAAGTAAAAATGTACAATCTATGAAGTAAAAAATGTGCCTAGTAAGTAAGTAAATATGTAAATATGTGTTGATTAAAATGACACTATATGTATATCATGATAATATGTTTATTTATAAATATATTAGTTTATTTGTGTATAAAAGCGAAAAAGTGAATTTACGGTTAAAACATTGAAACATTATATGTAGTAAATTCAAGTCCATGACATAAGTATTTTACAAGAATTTACTAAACAATATACTTTAGGTACGTATTATAATTAGTCTAAATTTAATCCCATATACTGTTGTTCATATATTTACATTCAACATTAAAACATCAAACAATCTCAATTTAAAACAAACCGATTAGGTATTTAAGAAAACTATTGTGCTCTTTGCATGTATTTTAAATGAAAAATTGTACCTATAGCTATCTAATACAATATAAATGTAGTTGTACCTATAATGAAAATGTAACAAATTGCCATCTACAATTGAAAATAAGCCGATAGTATAAATTTAAAATATTTACCTGAACAAATATTATTTACAATGATGTGCATTTTGATGAAAATTAAACTCCATACCTACTTACTTAGAAGTTTTCATAAAGAAAAACACATATTTTATTCAGTGTGAAGTGGTAATTGTTTCAATAAATCATAATATACACGTATATACGTATCGCTCGATTTTTTGTAGGTAAGTTTGTTTTGGCATTTTTTCAAACGAAAAAAATTGGAAAAAAAAACAACGTTATAAATTAAAGTACCGCACATTATAAAATAAGTATTTCATCTTGTAAATAACATTTTTAATTCAATAACATAATAAAACAGAAGGCGAAAATATTTGTTTGGTATTTTATACCGAACATTGTGCATAATATTATGATGCGGATAAATAATTTTGTGGAATTCCGGGTTTAATAGTTGATTTTTTAAATTATTAAAGAACATTAAAGAAGAAATTCCAGAATATAAGATTTACGGCTGTATGATAAAAGCAAAATATTTTAAGTATGCAATAATATTATATGAAATATCTAATAAAATGATCAACAAAAACAAAATTATACGGTATAATACCTATAACTACAATAACCTACCTGTCTATTTTATTTCACATAATCAATATACCTGAATGATGAAACAAAAATGTACACAATGCAGATCATTTAAGAATTGATTTCATACCAAGACACCCACCCATTTCGCTTGAATTTCACAAGTTTCACAAAGTGTCGAAAATAATTTACATGAAATATACGAATAACTTTTCATGATGTGAACAATTTTCCACTACGTGAATCCTAACTAAAAAATATGCATAATATAGTATCCTTCCTCTGATCAACAAAATCTGAATTTACATTATACCTAATCGGTTACATAACAAGTTGATGTATTTATCTAACTTTTAAAACCTGTAGCCGAAGGTATTAATTTAGAAAAATATGCGTTTTAATTCCGAATATGGTTTATCCGCACGAATCGGTTAAAAAACGAGAACGATACCCCAAGTATCATTTAATATTACAGTATATTCAAATTCCTATGTAAAAAATATGTAACTACAATGTTAGGATGACGCCTTCTGAAATTTCACTAAACGATGGTTCTGTTGAAAGGGTTTTGGATACAAAATTATATTTTGGATTGTATTGAATAATGAAACACGATTATATGTGACCAGAAAACTTTTTCTGTACTCGTATTATCAAATTGTATAAATGACGCCTTATCTTGGACATAAATTTAAACCACAGCATATAAGAACATAAAAAACTAATAACAGATATGAATCAGAAAAATCGGTCAAATTGAACGTTGGATCAGATGGAAATTTAGTTGACAACGTTGGATTTTTTTCCAAAATTCAACGATAAAATATTGTCAAACTGTGAAAAATAATGTACTTTGATACTTGGAATGTATCATTTTGAGTGAAATCGCTGAATTTCGAAATATACTTTTATATTATATACTATCTAACGTATAACTACTAAAACTTTTATTCGTATTTAATTTATTGCTTATATTTATGTACCAACGAAAACAGAACAGAGGTTTAATTTGTTTAGGGTTCGAAAACTATTTCTGCTTATGAGAAACTTTGAGTACTAGGTGTATAATTATTACATCGGCTAAATATTATTAAACGGCATCGCCCCGGATGTAAATAATTATTATAATTACCTACCTATACGATACCTCGACTATATTTAATAAAAAAAGGAACAAAATAGTGAATTTTTATTTTGTTTACACAAATTCTCTAATTAAAGTTATAATCCGTGGTATTCTAAGGATATAAGTTCAGCACTGCAGTTATCTATATTATAGGTAAAATTATAATATGAACTATACGTTATCCACATAAACCACAACTCTGGTCGGATACCTACGTCGTATTGAAATGATTATAGGGAACACTTCATACTGTTGAATTAATAATTTTTATTATAATGGTGTAAATATATTATGGTGCTTACTCGGTGATTTCACGATATTTCAAAAATTTTAATATCAACTTATATTTAAGTATTGTCTATAATATGCACAAACTGGGACAAAGTAAGGATATAACAAATTGTATGAAGGTACAAAGAATTCAATGTCTAATATGGACATGCGATGGAAGACTGTCAGAGTTAGCGAACCTAAAGATAATAGTTTAGTGGAAACTAACCGGAAAAAGACCTTCTACAGAACACCCGAAGAAGCTATGGGATGAAATGAAGGAAAACAGATGTAGAGGAGGAGAGTAGAGAAGTAGAGAAGAAGTAGAGAAGTAAAGGAAGAGGAGTAGGAGAATAATAGAACACATTGCCAGTGGTGGAAATAACAACTCTCACAGAGTTATGATGTCAGGAAGAAGTAGGATATAAAAATGTTATGTATTAATTGTGTGTTGTGGAAAATAAAAAAAAAAACAATTTGTTTATACGACCAGACTACCAGAGGAGTCATTTAGGTTTTGAATTGATACGAAATGAACGATATAATGTCTCTATATACTCGTGCGCATACAGAAAATGTAAATCTACAACTGTCACACTGTCAACATTATATTAACTCTGTAAAATAAACTTTAATAAAATTAAAAAAAAAAATCAAAATCAAAATATATTAAAAATACAAAGAGGAAACTGCTAGTCATTTTATATACGTAATGGATAAATGAGACGCTAATCACAAACGTTTATTATTGCTGTGAATTGCCCGTTAAGTGGACTCTTACGATAAACACCGGCATCCACACATTCAAATATGAAACCTTCACATACAGTATCCAATAATGTATATAACGTGTTATTTAATATTAATTTGGATGCATTTGCCCTCTAACGAACAACATCCTGTTATATTATACTGGCTGCAGTCCCTGTTACCCATTTATTTTCATACTTATATTTTCACTACGTTCGAATTTGAATAAATTTCACAAAAAACCATCCACGGTATTCCTATTCCACGAGGGCAATAGAAATCAAATTGGAACCGTTTTTTAATAATAATATTATTAATGAACGATTTACTCGGATAATGGGTTTATGTATGCGCTGCACTGCACGCGATGGTTTTCGAATCCACCTGTGTGTACGTTGGCGGCGAATAAAGTCCAATATTAATGATAGCGATATATTATTTACAAACCTCTGCACGAATTCTTCGGGATTCGACGTCTTTTCACAAAGTATCCTACGTATATATTTATACATTAACTACAAGACATTTTCGTTTCCTATTAACTATAGCTTTTGTATTTATATATACACACATTATATTCACTGTATACAAGTTCTGATATGAAATGTATCCAGTAGGGGGAGGGGGTGAAAAATTGACGCGGGCGTTCGTAGATAAAATCCCCTTGTTACACGAACACCAGCCCACCTGGGTCTTATGACAAGGCCGCACACAAGCACTTATCTTAGAACATTCTTTGTTATAGTACTTACTCCTATGTTATTAGTTTTATAAGTATTATGGCATAGGCACAAATATTGCAAATGCGCAATAAAATTGCCCTGTCATATACGCCCTGCAATTCAGTGTAAAGGCCCGATCATTTTAGGGACCTCTTGGGCAATCACCCGTCCGCCCTCCGGTTCAGTTCGCCCCTGGATGTATCTGCGTGATACGAGCGAATTTACTTTATATTTTTAAGCAATACTGTACGGATTTACTTGACAATCAAGGAAGACAGACGAAAATATGTTTTCGGTACTGGAAATAAATATATTATAGACAATTGTTTGACCAGTAAAAGATAACATGACCGGAAAGTGGAAACGAAAGAAAAACTGCGATAAAGCTACAGATAACATTTGGAGAAAAGAATATTTTAAAAATCGTCGTCAAAAAAAGATGGTTGATGTGGATTCGAAATTAGCGGAAAAGCAAAACTCATCATTACGGGTAGTGACGGAACAGAACTCAATGACTACATTCAACTAAAAGACCTTTGAGAAAACTAAAGATGTGGTCAATAGACTTTAAGAACTTTAAGAACTTTAAGAGGTCGAATCGGATGATTTTTTACAGAACTTAGCTAGAGAATCGATTGTAAAACGCATTTGAATACGAAACTACATATTATCGTAAATCCGATCCAATAGAAAATGCGAATGATAGCACGAGTAAATATGTATGCACCGATTACAGAGCATCGATAAGTCAGCCGGACAACTGTGATTGGCGCAAAACTGACGTGGCGTCGGTGTACACGCCAGGCCAGTGAACCGGTGGAGATGCGGCGGACTAAGAGAATTAATGTATTATGATAGGTATAAAAGTGCGAACTTCGCCGTGATGTGCAATATGTCACGATAAATCCGTGGTCCGACGCAAGTATGTGTGTAATGTATCAATCGGAATAAGAGGAGGAAGGAACGGGTGTCCCGTAAAACAGCTGCTTCATTAATCACACTGTGTGGGTGGGCTTAGGTATGTGTGGCACTATATGATTGGGTATGTTAACGAAACGTTTTGGAGGATACAGCTGTTTCTAGCAGGAACGTTTAAACCTAGTAGCCTTAGTTAAAGTGTCTGGGTCTTCTGCAGGGTTTGGGTTGTAAGAGACGATTCGCTCCGCGATTATGCAAAAACTGCTTCACAGACGAAAACAAATCTCGAGTCGCCACTGGGAGGGAAGACGCGCGGACACACCGGGGAATCGTATCGTTGGGAAACAGATCTCGGAGATCGCACGCGCGTGGTGTCAAAGGGTCGCCGGTCGCGTGTGGCGCCCGTCCAGCGTCTCGGGGGACACGGAGCCGCCGCGGTTAAACAGGTGGTAGCGTATGAACAACACACGATAATAATAATAATAATAATAATAATAATAATAGTATTCGTCCGACGCGATACAAGACATCACGCGAAATACGCCTAAGCGACGACGCCGCCGCACAACAAGTGGCGGCGGCAATTGCTAGCAGCAGTGGCGACCGTGGACATTTCATATTACGTCGGGTACGAATCGAGCGAGGTAACGCGTATAGGTAGATAAACGAACGTAATCGTTTGTTTTATACATATATGTATATGTATATGTATGTATGTATAGAGAAATTAAAATTAAAATAAGGTACTTATTTTCGGTTATTTATTGTAACGTTCTAGGGTACGACCGCGGGTTTTTCGTTTTGTGTTCGAACGAGCTTGTCGGTCGGAGAAAAACCGACGTTCGTCCGCTACTTACCGTCCAAATACGGCAGGGCAGAGTCTACGGAGCGGTAGGCTCCGAACAGCGCGGTGCACACGGTCAACAGGATCGGCGTGCGGGACGCGAACGTAAACAACATCGTCGTCGTCGTCGTCGTCGTCGTCGTCGACGGACGGACGGTTAGCGGCGGAAGCGGCTGCTGCGGGAAACGCGATTGCGACGAGTGACCGTCGGCGGACGGTACGCAGCTGTTACTGTTTCGCGCGCCGTCGTGCGGTCGGCGGCGCAGTCGTCGTCGACGTCGACGAGCGCGCGCGTATATGCACACGGTATAATATAACATTATATATAATAATATTAAAATACGAGGCAGAAAAAAAAAAACAATACGCGCGCGCCCTGCGGTACCGGCGCGCGCGGAAGTGTCGGCGAGCGCGCGCGCTGTGACGTTTTCACGCGCGCGCGTGTGTGTGGTGTGCGCGCGTTCATGTGTGTGTGCGCGCGCGCGCGCGCTTGTGTGCGTGTGTATGGGCGCGCGTGTGTGCGCGCGTGTTTGTATAAGCGTGCGGCCGCGAGCTCCGCGTGTCTGCGCGTCGCGTTTGTTTGGATACGACGTCGTGATGTGCGTGCGCCGCGACAGAGGGAGACTCGGTTCGCGCAACCGCCACCGCGTTTCACTCGTCCCGCCCGCCCGTCACCGCCGCGCCGCGTTACGAAACACCGGAGACGCGCGCGAATCGATAAAAAGTCCGCGGGGCTACCCTGCTACCGACTGCCGCCGACCACTCCGCCCGACCGCCGCACCCGGCGCCTGTACGCTCGCAGTCCGTGTACACACGCGTACGTATCCACGCACACCGACTCCTCGGCGGGCCCGCTACTCGTATTATTATTATTATTATTATTATTATACACTTTAGGCCGGACGAAATCGATTATGATATTATAACGTCGTGCCGAGCGGCTTTCGTACCTGCCCGCCGCGGTAAACCCCGGGTCTTCCCGCGCGGCTGTCCGCGCCCCCGTAGATCTTCGCCGGTCCGCCGATAACCGCATCGCCGTCGCCGCCGCCGCCGGACCGTGGCCACTGTCATCGCACGGGCGCACCTACCCGTTGTTCGGTCGTCCGGTCGGACACGCGCGGGAATCCGAAACGCCGCAGCCGTCGGTTTGCGCGGGCATCCGGGTCGGTTGCAGTGGCGCACCGTTGTCGCGACGTGGGTTATTGCAAAGGCGCTTTCCCCCCCCCCCCATCAACCACACCGAGTACCCACTCGGGCCGTCGCGCGCCCTTGTTTTCGTTTTCGCTTTTAGATTACGAACACGTATACGGGCGGGTAAGGGCGGCCGGTTTCGCTGCGTTACGTTCATTTTGTTTGCGTACACCGGAAATGTTTCCCCCCCCCTCGCCCCCGATCGTCGAATTCCCCGTGGCGCATTTCGGATTTCGCAATTAATGTCCGACTAGGCGAGTGCATTCGAAACGTCCTTTTCGAACAATAATAATCGTCGCCCCGAAACGGAGATTATTGTGTTGCGCGTGGGGCCCGGGAGTTATAGGGGGTGGATTTGGCGATATATGCACGCGAAAGGGCGAAAATTAGAATTCAAATCTATGAAATACCGGTTCGTGTTTGTACACGCACATAAACAAATTAAAAAATGTTACGCGAAACAAATAATCAAAATCAAAAAAAAATATAATTATAAATGAGACCCGTACATTGGGTATACAATGAAAAATACGGATGGGCCATTGTTGAACGTGAGAAGTTCGAAATGTAGGATATAGGAGGGAATTCAATGCGTATCTGTATACAACGATCATTGCTAACGAAAATCAGTTCTGAGCGGAGTTCGGTTGTGCATGTTTTGAAAGGCCGTAAAATTTACGATTTTCGTCAAAATTTAATACTACAATTCTTATAAAAAAATTCTATATTCCATTAAGTTTTTTTTTTGTTTTAACCCAAAGTACGGACTTATAATGTTAAATTATCAAGCATTTTTGATTTGTCTAACAATTTTTTACACAGAGCGCTATTGAATATAAATTACGTATAAAAACTAGCAGAATTAAAATGTCTATAAATTGTTCAAAAATGGCTAAAATATGTTGAGAGTTTTACTACGTCTTGAATAGATAAATATGATTTTTCTGTCCAAATCTTCAGTCTCTGTGGATATTTTTAAACGGATCACAACAAAAAAGATAAAATTGAAAATAAGTAAGTACCTTCTTAAAAAATGCGGTTGGTTTTTCGACCGTCGGTATTTAAAATGAAATATTTATTTATAGATTCCCAACAGTTTATGACGATACGTCTGTTTTTGACAAATTCATGAATTTTCAGATAGACACGTTTCTGAAAAGTGTCTCGAAGGCGAATTTTTTTTCAATTTTCAATTTCTATATTTTTATTTAGTTATTTTAATATGTATACACATTTCATTGAAAACGGAACGTTCAAATAAGACGACACGCAATATCGATATTCTGGTAACACGATATATCCATATAATAAATTAAATTACAAAATATACAGTCTCGCGTAAAACGGTAATTACATCTTACTATATACGTACCGTTTAAATGATGGAGAAATATTACCTTTTAATATAGATCTAATGGTTTACATAATTAAAACGAAAGTGCCTATGGTACTATAAAATTCATAATCCTTTGGTTAATTTATTATCTTATTTGGAGACACCGCCGGTAGATTCGAAATCGCCGAGAAAATAATACTGTTATGCTCAAACAATAATTTATTTACGTAAACTCCTATTCGAAATCGTTTTCTTTTTTTCCTAATAAAATAAAAATATAAGTGGTAAGTATGATTTTCTTCGAATATATCATGGGATTATTTCAAATTGTATTCCATATACCTATAATTATTGTTTAAACGACAATTTAATTTCAAATAAAATAGGTTTTTATTTTTGTAATCTAATAATAATTTAATGATGGACAAAATCATCACATCTCTTCTCGATCTCGATTTTATCGATTTAAGGCATTTCGTCTCTTTAACATTTGTTCTCTCTGTCTGCACGTTTTATAGATGCGACAAAGGCATTTCGCATTTCCACGATTGTGACTCTGTAGTTGAGTTTATGTCAAAAGGATCTAGAAAATTAAGAATATTAGTAGTAAGAAAAGGGCGGTCCTTTTTTAGGTGCAGGTGCTAGTGCTGGTGCAAGGTGCCCAGGTGCTATACCCAATACATGGTCACCCATCCAGGTGCTGGTGCTGGTGCCAGGAGCCCAGGTACCATACCTAATAAACGACCGCCCGCATTGTCCGCCTCTTCATCGACATATATTTTCCCCCAACCCTTTTATTCAAAATAATTATTTCCTACATTATCATTGTCTACTTAGACGGCATATATTTTCCTCAGCCCTTTTTCCAAAAATATTTTTTTTTCCTACATGTACCACGTACTCGATATATTTTGACTACGTCCCATTTATCCAAATATTTTTTCCACATTATCGAATACTTACTCGACTTATTTATATCTATTTCGTTATCATACACCTACGGTATCTCTCTTCACCGTACCCACTGTTATCAAATCGTTATCATATAATACCTATGATTATTTTAAGAGTATTATGATATTTTTCAATATTTTTGAATGTGTTTACTTGGGCTGATTTATAACTTCAGAAAGTTTGTTTAAATAACCAAACATAAAACTACAATATATTATATAGGTTTGTAATGGATTAAAAATTTAAACAGACCTGCTATTCGTATCAACGTATATGCTATTCGTATTGGTTGATCGCCACGATCAACCAATAAAACCATGTATACCAATTTAATGTAATGGATTATTTATCGCGATTTCTCATTTACGATTTTACTGGATACTCATTTTTATGGGAGGTGTTGAATAGTGTACAAGTTTCAAAATCGTGGTGACTAATTTGTATTAAATAAAATAACTATTACCTGATTTTACAGAAACTGTTAAAAGTTTAAGTTTAATTTAAAAATTATGACAAAAAGTCTATGTTTTGCTTTACTTAAATCGTATAAAACTTCGTCAGTCATTTATTTAAAATCATTTAATCATTAGAAAGGTACATTAAAGAGGTCATTTTTCGATATTCTCAGGAGTTTTTCCAGCAAATGTGAAAAAACGGTATAAATGTGAGAAAAACGGGAAAATCGGTACATTAAACAAATATTTTTAAAGCAAATATATAATATCTATTTCATTATTTTACTATAATATGACATAAATATTGTTGACAAAGCATCAACTGAACTCCGCTCAGAATCGTTTTTTCGTAAGTAATGATTGCTTAAATGTAAATATTAAATTACCTATAACAGTGGCTGCACCCGTTCCTATTATCCTGAGACGTCTATTTATGTTATTATTTATCAAAATCGTTTTATGGAAATAAGACAAACATTATTTTGGAAGTTTTTTTATTTTTAACAAACAATTAACAATCAAAATTATCTGTCATTCGGGTTATACTTCATCAGTACATGTTTGATTTTATTTAACATTGATTTCCTTTTTCGTGATTGTTCAGGTTTTTGTTCCCGTTTTTGTTTTTTGACCGAAACATTTTTGTCACAGGTCATTTTTCTCTTTGAACATTCTTGTTTATGTGCTATTATTTGATTTTTCGTTTTTGTTTGAATAAATTGGCTAATTTCTTACAATAACTGTTCTTCATCGTAAGAAATTATCATCTCTTCAGGTTGGTTCTCAGAAGTTATAGGCTGTTGATAGGCTTCTCTTTTTTTCTTTAGGTTTGATTTGAGGACATTCGTTAACTTTATTATTTTTATCGTCATTTTTGCAGGAAATTATCCATTTATTAACTATTATTTGGGGCTCAACTACAATTTTACAAAAAGAAAATATTACTTGTGGACGTAGTCACTGGAATATTATCATTTCCATCAGAATGGCCTTGTTTTAAGTAATACACATTGTCTAAATATTTTAAATTCAATTTCGATTTGTCAGCAACCTCTCCAGAAGATCCAACTTTTAAAGTAGCAAAACGGTGATTTTCTAATATGTGTAATGCTAATTGTTTACCATTTACAGCAGTAAATGTCACATTGTGGCAATATGCACAGGTTAAACGCATTTTCCTTAGATATTATTTTAATATCGCAAGTAGTGACATTTTATTATAGAGCTATTCGGCTTCATTCGATACATCTGTTTTAATGCCGTCGACACTATTTCTCATTACTTTGCTTATCGTGTTTGTCATTGTTATGAATCAATACTAACAATAACAATAAGATGGCAACACTCCAAATCTGAAAAAAAAAAATGTATTATTTGTGTATTAGGTGTCTACTTAAAGAGTTGGTACATTTAATTTACCTATTTATAATTTATAATCAATAATATAATATGAAGATATAAATTCTTTCTAAAGTGGTTTGAATCAAAAACATCAAAACAATAACAATAAGATAACAAAACACCAAATTCAAAAAAAAAAATTAATAAATTAGGTATATTATTATATTAATAAAATCAACCGTATCTATAATATTATCGTATCTAGGTACCTAGTAAATTTGTTCCGAATAAATAACTTTTTCGAAAAATTGATAATAATATTTGATAATTATTATCAAACCGATGACATTTATAAAAAAATCAATATGTAACTATACTATACTAATAGTTTTAGTAGCGCACGCATGATTTTTTTTTTTCGGAATGGGTTTCGTTTAGAATAATTTCCTAGGGAGGGGTAGTACATATTATAAGTACATTAGGTACTATCGCTATTAGGTATTACTGAATAAATAATTTTTGAATTTTCGATGAAATAAAATTTTATTTCTTAGCGAATTATATGTTTGCATTTTTAAATTGCGATATTTTATATTTCACTTTATCGTAATATCTCGCTTAGCAAATTAAAATATCGATTTAGAAACACACAGATTGTGTTCACACCTTCAATTTTCGCCAATTCGCTGTGTAATATTAAAATCAACAACGTAAAATTGTCCTGCTGTACGCAAACTATGTATGTCGTACGTTTGAAAGACGGAGACGAGCGAGAAACCACAATATGCAGGAAAAAATATCATCACGTTCTCATAAAAATTTAATATTTTTAAAAAAAAATAAATACTTATGACAGTCGTGCATCTCAAATAATAATAAACAAGAAAAAAATGCACTGAAAAAATGTACGTTTTATTAACAGTAAAAATTTAATGATGAGAAAAGTAGAAAATATTTATATGTGCACGCGATTTGTAAATTTCGTAATATGAGAAATATCAAGAATGTCAAATCGGTATAAACAAATTTTCCGCGTGAAGTACCCACGACGACCGAATAAATATTATATTTGTTCAAATAAAACTAAGTCGGGTTAGTTACACCATTTATAACTCGAGAACGGCTGGACCGATTTTGATGATTTCTGATCTGCTAGATTCGTCTCCGCCCCAAATAGCAGAATAACTAATTAAATAACGGAAAGATTCACGCAAAAAAAAACTGTAGCGAACTGCGCTCAGAATCGTCTTTCACCAAGCAATGGTTTGTCGTTGCTTACAGATATAAATGTAATAACCTTATGTATTTTATCTTCCCGACTTCTCACCTACAACAGTAGCCGCTCCCATCCCCGATATCGGTTCTTTTTTTATTTCATTTTTTTTTTTTTTATATTATGCGTACAATGTACATATAAATAAAGAATTATAATTCGTATTAATTTGCCAATTATTTTAGTTTTTTTTTTTTAATTTTCAATAATAAACTAGTTACTAATAAACTGAACATAGTCTTAACTCAGAGTTGGGGGATCCATACCCACTGGACCCCGTAAACCCGCCACTGGGTGTCAGTGTCTGTAGTTCGTTAATATTCGTTCTAGTTTGATTTTCACACGTTATTTCACTGCCGTTTATAATGTTGTAAAACAGTGTAAAAAGAAAAATCTCTGAATTACTTTAAATCCGCCGAATAACGATGAAAACGTAGACGTTCAAACGTTACTTTGTCTGCGTAGTTACAAACGTTTTTCCGGCGAAAAATAAAAAGCACTTCGTAAACGTATTTTCCGATACTTAAATATAACAACCATCGCGATGTATGTTTGATGTAAATTTCGACAGCGGATACGCCGCGGGTCGGGTCATAATAATGTATACTCGTACAAACAAAACACTTTTGAATATAATATTGATATCGCACACGCAGACAAATTTATGACGAGCGTTTCACTGTTTTAAGGATATAAAGAGCGGATGGATATTCGCGGTAAGGCGTAAACCGTATATTAGAGTTTATTTTATAAACAAGCGCCACGCGTAGTAAGTTATGCCACATCACCAGAGGTCGTTCTCGAATATATGAATACAGGACGATTCACTAAGCGTGCTCACCGCGTTTTTTTTTTTTGATTAATTTTTCATGTATTCAAATTCGAAATTTTGGAATATTAAATAGCATAGTCAAGACCTTTTTCGAATACTTAGATTTTTCACAACATTTAAAGCGTATCCTGTGGCGATTATAACTTTGGTTTTTATCAAATGAGAGCCTATACTAAAAATTCCATAAATAGACGGAATATTACTTTAAATACGTTTTGGTGTTGAAATGTTTGTTGATTTCCGTCAACCCGTTAACGAGATATTCCACTTTTAAGTTTAAGTAGTGGAGAGTAGTGGCACACTGATAGATGCGTCGTGCCATCACACAAATGATACTGAGAACCTGATGAAACCTGACGAATTGTTTTAAATTGAATACTCATACAAGAACATTAATAACTAGTAGTAATTTTAATGCGAAAGTCGCATTGTCATCGAACATAATACACGTTAAATTTTTTATTCGTTCCTTTTTGGCCCGGCAAGCGCCGCTTACCTAGCTAGCAACGGCACGACAATGGTAAATACTTGTCCAGAATTTATTACGGCCAATGTATAAAACGTTTAAAAGGTCCGGAATTTAGACAATTTAGACATTATAACTCATTTTATCAATTTCCAGAGAATTTAATTTCCGGTTAATGTTTATGTACATATATATATATACATATATATGTATGTTTTTTTATGAATTTAAATTCACTATAGGTTTAAATAAAATATACGAATTACTATTATTATGCCGTTTTTTATGATAACTGTTACAGTTTTAATTTCACATTTTCGGGCAGGATGTTTTTCTAATAATTATTTTATTATACAGCATTTTAAACCAACATTTTATTGTTTATAAAATAATTTATAGTTTTTAACGGCACAGTACAAATTCTTTATAAGATCTCCGTATAAAGTATCGAAATGTTATGAAAAACATTTTTTAGCTATAAGTATAAGGATAGGAGGGTTGTAGATATCTAAACCCTCTTAGGTTATCGAGAACCTCCCAATGCCCATTGATAAGTCCTGGCTACGCCACTGGCAGTGTTGACACCCGTAATTTGTGTCTGTTTTGTTTTTTTTTTTCTTATAATCATTGACATTGTTTGTATACGCCCACGTTCAGTACGTGTTTTTTAAACGCTATGCGTGTTATTGTCTTATGAGGATATATTATTACTTGAACAGTCGTAAAACACCAAATAGGGCCACCTATATGGGCGATGTCAATATTTTACGATGCCACTAAATGGCCGCTATTAAGTACCAATATTATTTTTTCTAAAAAACTATAAAACCTTACAGTGTTCTACTACATAACAAAACAGTTAAATTACCAATAAAAACGTTGTTAATACTGTCTAGTGATGTCTACATATACTCGTATTTTAATTTAAGATTCGGAGCGTAGTGAGGAACATGTCGGTTTTACTGTAGTGTTTGCTTAATTTTGTTTTTCTGTCTGTGAACTAAATTTTCTACCAATTATCTGACTCTAATTAAACAACGCCAAGGGACCTTCTTTTTTATTGCGTTTGCGATGTATTAGTCGGTGCATCGAGATTATTTTTTTTTTTTTGAATTGATCAACGGTTAGAGAAAACCAAGAGAAAAAAACAATATAGGCCAATGGTTTTTAACCTGTGCGTCGCGGCTCCCAGGGGCGTCGTCGTTTATTATCAAGGGAGCCGCGTTTATAGTAGGTATAGTAGAGTATTGCAGTAAATTTATTTATTTTAATTTTTATTATTTTAATTATTCGTAAGGGAGCAGCTAATTTGGTTTTCAAAATCAGAATAGCCGTGGACCCCAAAAGGTTGAAAACCACTGGTATAGGCAAAACGCACAAATATTTTTCTCCTTTTATTTTTTGATTTTAATGGTAACTACATAAGTCACTACATGGTGTACTTTTTGTTTGGCAAATCCATATTTATTAAATAGCAATTATTTATTTATTTGTTATAAAATATACTGACAAGCCCTTCAGTACGAATTAATTTACGTCACTGCAGTAGATACATTGTCAATACGTTATACCGTTTAGCGGTTCTTGAAATTAAATTTTCGTGTATTAAAAAATGTAAAAAAAAAAATTGACTTAAGCCCTTATTTCCCGGATCAAAAGGTTTATTGTGCGTAGTAAATTATTATTATATATAATAATATTATAATTTTTCTTGAATATACACTTATAATTATAGATACCTAAAACCCATACCTACATTTACATGCATACTATATATTCGTTTTACTATTAATATAACGAAATACCACGCGGCACGGACGGTATAATTGAAACCATATCGGTGAGAAAATGTAGAAGGGGTATCATTTTAAATATATAAACGTAATTTAACGAGTTTTTGAACAACATCAGTGTGTATACCGCCTACATAAATTATTTCCAGGCACGCAAACATTCGGCCGCGTATGTCCTTCGGGACGCCACCAGCAGGTCAACATTTTGCACGTTCCCCTCAAAAGTATAACGACAAAAATATCATTAAAAAAAAAAAGTTTAAAATAATATTGATAAATTATACACGGTTCATAATACTATTATCGTTTTTATTTTACGCATATCGAGAATTCAATACACGGCAGTGTATATGCATGTATAATTTTATGATTATCTTATTATTTCTTATAGTTTCGTCAGCATAAAAACAAAAAAAAAAATGTTTTTCATAGTGAAGTTTTTCACTTTTAAAAAGCCATGTGATTTGTT